AAAAAAACTAGATAACTTCACTGATGAGCTGGACATCCTTCTGAGTCTCTTCAATGTGGATAGGACCCTTCTCATCCTCCTTGGTGGTTTCCTTGTATCAGATAAGCTGCAGACATGTCTTCTGCAGACATGGCCCAGACTTGCTCCCAGCATGACATAAACCCCTTTGACTGCTCAGATCATCAATCTTTCACACTCTCTCAGCATCCCCCCGACATCGTCCTCCTCCACTTGCTGCAACCTGCACTCTATCTCACTGCTGTCTCTTGCCTCAACAATCATAATTACACTTGCACACCCTGGAAACTGCTTCACTTAACCTTCAGCAACCTCTGTCCTCCAAATCAGCAAGAGCTCCCTCACCTGCCTCTTGCCTGATTGGTGTTCTTTGCAGTGACCACATAGAACTTAAAATGGCCCAGAGAAGGTGGAGGAATTAAAGTCACTCATACCAGTATCTCCTTTCTGTGTTCCCACTGGAATTAACTGCTGCAAAAGCATCTTTCTACATAGGGAAACCAGAAACATGAGCATCTGGTCAGTGCAAGCTCTATATTTTCTCTTCCCAGAAGATTTTGTTACCTTCTTTGAGGAGAAGGTTAAAAGGATCTGTCAATTATTTTCCTCTGACTCTACCACTCCTCTCTTCAGTCTTCATCCTCCCCCTCTTAATTGTCGTCCAACCACCTGCCCACTAGACCCCATCCACGTTGCTCAAGACAGTCTTCCAGGACCTACTGCCCTTCATTACTTTCTTCATAAATAGCTCCTTGTTATCAGGTCATGTACCTTCAAGACCACCAGGGTTGGTACCTATCCTTAAGAAGCCTATGCTAGGCAGCTCCTATCAGCTACTGACGGGTATCTCTCATTTCTTTCCTTTAAAATATTATGCACTATTTATCATCAGTTGTCTCTCTGTCTCATACAGAACAAACATCTGGACCCCAACAAATCTGGCATCAAACCAGCAGGCTCAACACAACTGCCTTTGAAAGCAGGGACAGAGTTGCTTTATATGGCTAGATCAACCAAACCGGTTTTAGTAATGGTTCTTCTTTACCTCTCTGCAGCCTGTGACACAATCAACCTCAAGATCCTCCTGTCCTCACCAACTTTGGAATCCCTGGCTCTGCAAGGTAGTGGTTTGAGTCCTACCTGGAGGGGCACCACTATCAGGTAACATAGAGAGGATCCACATCCACTCATTGCAGACTCCCCACCAGTGTCCCAGAAGGCTTGGTGCTGTGTCCTATTCTCTTTCCCTTTATACTTGCTCCCTTGGTGAGGCAGTATCTTCTCTTGCCTTCCTCTACCACTGTTATGCTGATGACACTCAACTCATCCTTTTCTTTCCCTCCTTCTGATGCACAGGTTTCTTCTCACATCACATCATGGACGGCACCCCACCACCTTAATCTGAATCCTGGCAAAACAAACTGCTACACAGCCCTGGAGCTACATGTCCTCACTATGAACACATCACTACCAAACATCGGGACTTTTCTCTGTCTTGGCACCCAGGTGGTGGAATGAACTTCACCTGGATGTCAGAACAGCAGAGTTCCTTGCTGTCTTCAAATATCGACTGAAGACTAGTCTCTTTAAAAGGCATTTAATTTTATGCACTTCATCTCTGGAGTTGTAAAACAGCGCTTCTAGACATCAGCTCTTATTCTTCTCCTCTGTTCCAAACTCACCTTGTGAATATCCACAGCCTTCCTCAGCTCCTGAAGCTCCCTCTCTCTTTCTTGGATCCTTTCCTGGTATTTCCTCTGTGATTCCACCACCTGCTTCTGCAAAAACAAGCAAAAAAAATCCCATTTACCCATAATTTGCCCCAGTATAGTTGAAGCTAAAGGCATTTAGACTGTAGCCAGTACTGTTTTTTACGTTAAATAACCATTTTGCATTGTTATTTTGAATGCATTATCCTTCAGCCTCATGCAAGTTCCCAGAATTATGCAAATTCCTGCTGAATTTTGTTTACAGGACATTTATGATGGCAAAGAACAAACATCACAGCAATATGGATTTAAAATGCACTTTTTTGTTTTGAGTTAACTTCTTTTAGCAAGAATTGTGTTGATTAAGTGTATAACAATGCAACATATTCAATTATATTAAACAGTATCAGATTGTATCATAGTGTCATAAACCACATGATGCCTTATGGCTAGAGCATTAGATTGGAACTTTTCAAATATTGTACTTTTATAATATTGAATGCATTAACAAACAATGTAAACATCAACAATGTGCATATAAAGCACATTTTCAGATACTCCTATATATTGCTGTATTAAAATATGTATTAAATTGGGACACCACTGTGTGGTATCATATTGAATCAAATTCTGAATTTTGTATATGGTTACACCTCTAGTGTTGTTGAAACAGTTTTGACACTAACTGACACATTTCAATCCTGTAAACTAACTGCACTGTTTCTCAGTGTAATAACCCACACCTCAGTTGTCAATGAGTAGTTGTAGAAAAGCACTGTAATTGTAATTGTTACCTGTGTCTCAGCTCTTTCTGCTGCAGCTGATACTGTATCATGTCCTCTGTGCTCATCCATGGTGCACAGCATGCAGATACACTGCTGGTCAGTGCGACAGTAAACCTCCAGCAGCTTCTCATGCTGAGAGCAGATCTGCTCCTGGAGTCGTCTGGACGCTTTGACCAGCTTGTGCTTCTTAAAGGCAGGAGATTCATAGTGAGGCTGCAGGTGAGTTTCACAGTAAGAGGCCAGACACACCAGACAGGAACTGCAGGCTTTCTGTTTTTTGTCCGGTGCAGAAATCACACTCCACATCTCCGTCTTCAGGTCCAGAAATATAGCGAGCAGGAGGAGCAGGCTGGAGTCTCACCTTCTTCATTTTCTCCACAATGTCAGCCAGCATGGCGTTTTTACCCACAACAGGTCTCGGAGTGAAGGAGTGTCTGCACTGAGGGCAGCTGTAGGTTCCCTTCTGATCCTCCTGATTCCAGCAGTCATTAATACACACCATACAGAAACTGTGTCCACAGGGAATGGTCACCGGATTCTTCAGCAGCTCAAGGCAGACTGGACAGCTGAACTGATCCTGCGCCACTGAAATACTGGCCTCTGCCATTTTACAGCAATAACAAAGAACACCAAAGTCTTGCGCAGCAGCTGAAAGAGAAAGAAAGTTCTTGTTTTCCTGGTTCTTCGTGTTAAAGCGTCTAAAGAAAGTGTCTCTCTTGGTTTATATTGAGAAAGATAGCGATACTCGCACCGTTGACTCAAATGTAAATAATGAAGACCTTCCTACTCAGATATATTAGTGACAGAAGTGCAAATACAGACACGATACACCCAGACTCACCCAGACCCAGACTGCAGAAAAACAAGATTTAGTTTCACTTTCACTTAAAGGGGATTTCCAAAAACAACACACACAACAGCCGTGATGTGAAATGATGCTACCATAGAAACATACATAGTCAGAATCATTCACAATGGTGGTGGGAATCAGACTCTGAAGAGTTTAATGCCTCTAAAAGCTCCCTTAATGGAGTTATTACATAACTGAAGTTTGAAGCAAGACCACGCCTAAAACTCCTCCTTCTCAATTCCAGCTTCCTAGAAATCCCCCTTCTCCTCCACCTTGTGCACACCTGCACATGATGTTTAATATAGAGGGAGGTTGGCCTTCTAGTGACCCACAGAAGCTGTACTGAACTCCCGTCCAAAATTCCTCAGAGTTCCCCTCCTCTCATTTACCAAAGCATGGTCTGCATTCGCTAACAGAAAGTTATTACATGAAATAGTTACACATACTGCCTGATGTCTGAGACATCATTTAATTTAATTAATCCTGCCACCAGGCCTGTCTTGGCCACTGGTGGGTGACCAGCATAAACCAGTTGAGACCATTAATAATTCTAGGGGTGTTTCTGAGGCTAGAACCTAAAAACTCATATTTCATAGATGTTTCGATTAGAATTTAAGTAAACAATTCTACCACTACTACAGGAAGCTGTCACACCACATTATTATAATTGTTGCATAGTATTTTCACTTTATTGGCTAAACTTACCGTTCTTGTTAGAAATGGATGACGGTCATTTGATCTGACATTTTATTGGTGTTTAGAAATCATATAAACATAAGGAGGTGTACAGTGACAAAGTGCTCATTTCTTAAAACCTTTTTTAAGTACATAATTGAGTAAGTGAGTAAAGTATGTATTACAGTAGTACAGGAAATAAATAAATAATCATGAAAATAAAAAGTACAAAAATAAAATGTCCAGTGCATTCAATCTTAACTTTTAGGATGACATAGTATAACATAGTTTAGTAAGACACAAGCAGACATTCATATGGAGAAATACGCCGATCAGCCATAACATTCTGACCACCTCCTTGTTTCTATGCTCATTGTCCATTTTATCAGCTCCACTTACTATATAGGTGCACTTTGTAGTTCTACAGTTACAGACTGTAGTCCATCTGTTTCTCTGCATACTTTGTTAGCCCCCTTTTACCCTGTTCTTCAGTGGTCAGGACCCCCATGGACCCTCACAGAGCAGGTACTATTTGGGTGGTGGATCATTCTCAGCACTGCAGTAACACTGACATCGTGGTGGTGTGTTAGTGTGTGTTGTGCTGGTCTGAGTGGATCAGACACAGCAGTGCTGCTGGAGTTTTTAAACACCTCAGTGTCACTGCTGAACTGAGAATAGTCCACCAACCAAAAATGTCCAGCCAACAGCGTCCTGTGGGCAGCGTCCTGTGACCACTGATGAAGGACTAGAGGATGACCAACACAAACTGTGCAGCAGCAGATGAGCTATCGTCTCTGACTTTACATCTACAAGGTGGACTGACAAGGTAGGCGTGTCTAATAGAGTGGACAGTGAGTGGACACAGTGTTTAAAAACTCCAGCAGCACTGCTGTGTCTGATACACTCTGATATACTCTTATTTTAGGGGACTGATTGTTCCTGGAGATGAATTCAAAACATGAGCAGACTGCCACTCATAAGGTTCCAAAATTCCCTCATATTTTCAAATGGGACAGTTTAATTGTTGATCCTGGATGAACCAAGAACCCAGCGTGGAGCGGCTGAGTGAATGTGGTCTGGACTCTGTGGAGGAGGGTCATCGTATCGGAGACGCTGTAGAAGGACAGAGTTCCTGCCCGGTGATCCACATAAACCCCTATTCTAGAGGAGCTGGCATCTCTGCGGATTTTTCTCTCTTTGTTGTTGTGCCAGAATGAGTATCCTGAGGGAAAGCAGGACAATCTCCAGGACTGATCGTTGCAACCAAACACAGACTCAGCAGCTCTTCCTTTCCGACTGATGCCATCATATGACACCGCCATAAAAACCCCATCTCTCCCACTCCATTCAACCTCCCAGTAACACCGTCCACAGAAAGCTTCTTTACACAGCATCTGAGGCCAATAGTCAAATCTCTCTAGATGGTCAGGATACGACTGGTCACTGTTACTGCAGGTCACCACTGAGTTCCATTCAGACAGATGGAGGTGTCTATTGGCTGTGTTGGGATCCAGTGTGAGCTCACAGGAGTCTGAGGGGAGATAAACAAAATCATATACAGTTTAAAAAGGTGCATTTCAGGCCCCATTGACACCTGGCATTAAGATGTATCCAGGGTGATCTATCATAGGTGTCGATTTAAGGGGGGAGGGGGATGTGTCCCCTTCAGTTTTTGGAGGGGGATGAATTGTCCCCTCCAGTAATTTGCTCTGAACATTTCCATTCCTGTGATTGCTGTTGGTTGGAAATTTTGACCAAGATGGTACGTGCAGTGCGTCCCCACCAACGATGAAATTAAACCTATGACACTGGATCCAATCATAAGTGGGCAGTGCTAAGTACTGGTGTGAACGGGGTGCAATGCATCTGTGACATGCACTGTGATCTGATCATTCAAGCCACCTATAGAGGTGGTCAGGGACACGTGACCACATAACATTGGTAGTATGAATGCTAAAGTGTTTAGATATGTCCTTAACAGCAATAAAGAAACATCTGACCATCATAGGGATCTGGATGCTCTTTGGTTTGCTGTATTCTGATTGTAATATAGAACATCGGAAGTATAATAATAAAGGTTATTTCATTTGTAGTTGTGTATGTGTGTGTGTGTGTGTGTGTGTGTGTGTGTGTGTGTGTATTTGACTGTGTGTCTGACATTGCAGGGCCTTTTCTATAAAACAAAATGTCTAATTTTTAGTTTATTTCATTTAAAAGATTCATCATGCTTGTTTTTAAACTCTGACATGTTGTAGCAATAATTTTACTTCATTTTTAAGTTTCAGTTGGAAACAAAAAGGTTCAAATGTTGAAATGCGTAACAGAAAACTGTCCAATCAGGATTGTTTTCCCATTGGTTAGGACTTCACGAGCTGGCCTGAAGGCCTAACATGTCAGGTTAACCACTGACATAATTAGGGAGTGACAGAGGAATAAACTAATCATATTTTGATTTGGATCAATGGGTACGAAAAGAGGCCTCTAATCCTTCTGAAAGTTCTAGATATGTCATCAATTGTGAATACAAGCCGTAGCCTAACTAGGTTTCAGTCAGTTATTAGAAATGAAAAAATCTATGCCAGGACTCTTTACTGTAAAACTGCTACATAACGGTAAAATATAAGTTAATAGCTGTTACACACTTCAAAGAAAACATGGAAAGTCGTTTGTAAGGTTCAAATGTTTGTTTGCAAAGTTAAAACAGTTAAAAAAAATGTTTATGCACATTTTATTAGCTTAGTCCTAACACAAATAGGGGCACTAGGATGAATTAGCATTATCAGAGAAGTTTGAAATTTTATGGCCCAGACTGGAGGCCTAGCAATGGTTCACCTCTGTAACATTGTGTATATCAGCTTTGACATATCATTGAATTTACTGAGTAAACATCTGTTCGCACATGTGTATTCAAATGGGTAATATTGTGTGTTTGTGTGTGTGTGTGTGTGTGTGTGTGTGTGTGTCTCAGTGAGTATCTTACATTCCAGAAACTCATCTCTGCTTTTGGGTTCAGGTGGGAGGATGACCTGGATTTTTTTCACTATAGAAATAAACAGTGCATGAGTTCAGGCCAGGCAAATATTTGCTTGAAACATTTCACTCTGTTAGTTTTTGTGCACCTACTGACTGTAATATCACCCAAACTCATTTATTGAATGAAATGACTCTAAATCGTTTAACTTACATCCACTTGCTATCTTTTTAAACTCCTCTTCACAAAGTTTTTTCAGTTTCTCTACCAGCTGAGACACAGACGTTGCTACCTCCTCAAAAGACAGAACACTGAACGTGATCCCAGGCAGTCCTGCAGATGTAGAAGTGGTCGAGAGAGGCCGCAGGCTCTACAGGGCACAAATAATAAGAAAGGGTTCTAGAGATCACATTCAAATTATACCTTGTTTACATCGGCAAACAAGAAGACAGTGTCAATGCACTAAAACACAGTCATATTTATTACTTGAAAGGCCAGTTTCCCAGACATGGATTAAGCCTAGTGTTAAAGTGAATTGCAATACCAATGAGGCTTCACTCTCAGCAGAAATGGTACTATACAGTACCAAAAAAGGTTATTTGACTTGTAAAAATAGCAGAACCCTTTTTGATGCTATTTTTAATAAGGTTCTTTAGACAATCACAGGTTTTCCATTATAAATAAGAATGATTCTTCTGATAAGTAAAGGTGCTAGAATGTGTAAACAATCGTGTCCAGTCATATCTGCAAAGATTCATGTGGCTGCAGGTTTTCATTCCAGCCAAGCAGAAGCTCACATGAACAGTTTTTTGGAACAACTGGGCTTCTTTTAGTTTGTGATAAAAATCTGCAGCCACGCTGGACATTTGCAAATACGATTGAACCACCATGGCACTTTTGGTTCCCAAAAAACTTTAAATGAATAGCTCTTTAGAGATGCAAATAAGATGTGTGAGTGTAACAAATCTTTTCAAAGTTCCACATTCAAAATTCTAGGAAGAGCTGCTTTACTAGCTGCGTCCCAATTCGGGGGCTGACTGACTGCGTCAAATTTCACTGTCCCATTTCGAAGTCTCCTTCATATGTGGCCGAGAAATGTGTCCTTCTTTTCCATGACCAACAGATGGATCCTTCACTAGCCGGCATATCCTGAGGTTCATTGTGTGCCGGTGAGGATTCGAGAACGCCTGAGGAGACACTTTAAATAAGTATTGGATTTAAACTGAGGCGAATAGCTAATGATAATAAATGTTAAAAAAATAAAAAATAAAAAGCTTAAGTCAAAGTTTCTGGCTCCATCTTTAAAGAACTTTAAAAGAACTTGACAGGAGCAGCATTTCGTGATGCAGCGGGAACAGCGGTGCTCTGGCGCAAACAGGAAATCCGCCATAGGGCAGACCGTCTCATTACGGTTCAGCCTTTGCCGGTCTACACAGCCTTCGAAGGACACGCCTTGATAGACCGCGTCTTTCAGAGGATGCAGCCCCTGAATTGGGACATAATGATTGAGTCTTTGTGTCCTGGTTTCCACAGTGCTTCACCTGGAGGAAATGGATGTGATCTTCTGTGTGTAAAAGCTGCTCCAGCTCAGCGTCTCTCCTCCTCAGCTCAGTGATCTCCTGCTCCAGTCGCCTCAGGATTCCTTCAGCTCGAATCACTGCAGCTTTCTCCTGAGTTCTGATCATCTCTGTGACCTCAGAGCGTTTCCTCTCAATGGAGCTGATCAGCTCAGCGAAGATCCTCTCACTGTCCTGCACTGCGGCCTGAGCAGAGCGCTGTTAGTGGGCATGGAGAAAAGAGGGGCCCAATTAGAAACAGCCCACTCACTCAGACAGTCTGATCACAGTGAGACTGTGATAATCAACATTTTTCCAACTACTGATTGACAGATTGATTGAATAATTAATTGTTAGACTGATTTATTGTAGCATCACCAAAGGGAGTTGTAGCTGATTGCTAGTTGAGGATTTTCTGAACAGCTGGCGTTCATTGTTACTAAGTTTGAACTGTATGCTGGGTGTGTTGTTTGAATGAGGTTCCTGGCTGACTGTAGGAGAGTTCTGACTGATCCTGAAGCTAAATGTTGAAGTTCTCTATTCTAAACTCACCTTGTGAGACTCCACAGCATTCCTGAGCTCCTGAAGCTCCTTCTGTCTCTCCTGGATTCTCTTCTGAGACTGCAACTTGGTCCCCGCCAACTGCTTCTACAGAAAGACCAAAATCCAGTCATGCTTGTAGTTCAAGCTTTGCAGCCTAAAACTAGCATGTAATATGTTATTTGTCATGTAATATTTAATATTTAATAAAACATTAAAAAGGAGTGTTATCATGATCTTATTTGTGATAAAACACAACCTTGAGTGTTATGTTGCTTGTATAAAGCAGTTCTGCAAAATAAAGTAAAAAGTCAAGAGAACAAGCCCCGAAAATTGCATCAAATGTGTTTTAATACAGGGATCTTCTTCTATTAAAAAGCAGAATTACAGAATTACATCTGCATTACAGATAGAGCCAGGGGTGCTTTAACCTGCTCATGGGCCTACAGGTGGTCCTGGGTCCCAGGGGTCTAGTTACAAAGTTGTGTCCAAAAACTCAAAATCTTTGTTTTTAATGAACGTACACACAAGGTCTCTGCCAGTCAGCCACTTCCAGCACTGGCATTCATCATCTCTCCATTAGTTTATGAACCTAAACCCAGAACCAAACCACTAAAAGCCAAAGTCGGTCAAGGTTTGTAATTGGCACTGACACGGCGGTCAATTCCCAGAAGAAACTAAACTTAGCTCCTTAATCGCCAAGTTCTTTTCTGAATTTTCCATTCCATCTTAAGTGGTGCCACAGTTACATTCTGGTGCCGGTAACTGCTGCACCATTTAAGGTGGAACAGAAAATTCATATAAGAAGCATGTATGTACAAAGTTCACAGAAAACTGACAAAGATGACTTTTTTCAGCTTTGGATGGGTAGAAATTGACAAGTCTATGTGACAGAGGCTCACTATTAAATGTCCTCAGTTACTGGAGCTCCTAATTCAAACATTGGTGTGCTGATAATGAACTGAAGGTTTGAGACAATAACACATAGCAACAAGTGCTGTGCAGTGATTGGAGGGTTGAGAAAGGTGGAGCTTGGCAAAGAGCATAATGATTTGATTGGCCATAATACAATCACAGCACTCACAGAAAACATTTGAAAATATACAAATTTGATTTGGTAGGCCTGTGATCAATCTGGTTAGACCCAGGTAGTTGAGAGGAAATAAACAAACCGCATTAACTAATCATAATAATAATAATAATAATAATAATACAAAAAACATCAATCAGAGGCCCTGAATTACTCTGAGCCCCTGGGCTTCAGCCCCTGGGTAAACCCATGCATTAAATTGCCAACAGAAAGAGCCATAAAACAGTCACAATATCAGGTTCAGCTCAACTTTTTCCATATTTGACAGATTAACCTGAATGTGGTATTGTTCCAGCCTGCCTGTAAAGCATTTAACAGCACATCTTGTTTGCTGAATTGTATTCTATTTACCTCTAATTAATTCTCAGAGTCCAGCTTCCCAAAAGCATCTTAGTTTTAGGATCATCTCAACCAGTAGAGAGAGATGCTCGCTCTATCATTTAAGAATCATTTTAGTGATAAGCTATTAGCAACGCCAGCCCTTTTTAGTTGTTCATTCACAGCTAATTCACAGTTGCCTTCTCAAAAGCATGTGTTGGGGCAATGACTGGTTCAGAATTTTACATAGGTCTGCTGCACTCTTCGTCTGAATCTTCAGATCAAGTATATCTTATATAGTCATCTAATGTACCCATTTATAAAACTCCAGCAACACTGCTATGTCTGCTTTGTTAAGGTGTACTTTTAAAAATGGTTGTAAGCAATACTATACATCTGAAATTAAACAAGTCATTACTAAAAGCCCTTCGAGCTTCGAGTACAGCTTGGCTTGACCCGCCGTCCTTCAAGATGCGTGGAAGACAAGCATCAAGACTGTTTTCTGTTCTGGCACCCAGGTGGTGGAACAAACTCCCACTGGCTGTCCGAACAGCAGAGTCTCTCGTGGTCTTCAAATGCAGACCAAAGACTGTCTCTTTATACAGCACTTAAATGAGCACTGAATTAAGTAACTAATTGTAATGTATTGCACTGCGCTGTGTTTAACTCTGCTTCTTTTCTCTAGGTATCAACATGGACTTTTGTTTCTAGCAGTTTCTGAGCTCAAGACTGGCTTTCTCTCTAACCTATATGTAACTAGCAAAGATACTTTCTCTAGGTAGAAAACAAAGCACTTTTTATAAGTCGCTCTGGATAAGAGCGTCTGCTAAATGCATGTAAATGTAAAAGCCTTTGCAGTCAGTCCAGTCCAGCTTCTAGACAAGAAACAAGTGTGGGATACTTTTTGGTTAAGTGCCATTTTCAACATGGCAAGTGAGCAAAGAACATGTAGTTAGTCTGGTTAGATGAGATGCTGACAACTTGTTTGACAGGCTACAATGGAAAAATGAGCTGTTTCCTCGATTTACTTTAAGCAGCTTTTACACATAGGTTATGTTGTTCTTTGGAAACAAGAATGTAGAAACCAAGAACTAAAATAAGTGCTTTTCCTGAGACAACACCTGCTTAAAAGCCTTCTTTCTCTTCTAATCATTACAGTAGTTATAAAAAGAGATAAATAGCATTTACCTGTTTCTCAGCTCTTTCTGCTGCAGCTGAAACTATCTCATGTCTTCTGTGCTTATCCATGGTGCACACCATGCAGATACACTGCTGGTCAGTGCGACAGTAAACCTCCAGGAGCTTCTCATGCTGAGAGCAGATCTGCTCCTGGAGTCGTCTGGAAGCTCCGACCAGCTTGTGCTTCTGAAAGGCAGGAGATTCATAGTGAGGCTGCAGGTGAGTTTCACAGTAAGAGGCCAGACACACCAGACAGGACCTGACGGCTTTGTGTTTCTGTCCAGTACAGAAATCACACTCCACATCTTCAGCAGGAGGAGCAGCGACAGATTTGAGAACCGTCGTTATCTTCAGCTTCTCCATCATTTCAGCAATCATCACGTTCTTGTGTAGAGCAGGTCTTGGGGTGAAGGAGTGTCTGCACTGAGGGCAGCTGTAGGTTCCCTTCTGATCCTCCTGATCCCAGCAGCCTGTAATACAGTCCAGACAGAAACTGTGTCCACAGGCAGTAGTGACTGGATTATTCAGCACATCCAGACAGACTGGACAGCTGAACTGATCCTGGTCCAGTGAACTGATACTGGCCATTTTCACGCAGTTAGACACAGTGATAGAACCAGCAGTGCAGAGAGAGTCACGTACAGCAGCAGCAGCACCAGAGACAAATGGAACGAAGCTGTGTTTTTCCCTGAACTGAAGAATAGAAGGAGTTTCCTGGTTCATGTGTGCCTGATAGATGTCACTCATCACTTCTCTGTACTTAGTGATATGTAAATACCCAATGTGGCCAAAAGTATTTGGACACTTTGTTGGACATCCCATTCTAAAACCATGAGCATTAATATGAAGTGCTCCCTAAACCCCTTTGAGGCTATAAAGGCTTTCCACTAGATTTTGTAGTGTGTTTTGTAGTGTGTCTGCTTATTCTCACCTGTAACAGGGATTCTGACACTAGGTGTACCAGGTGTTCATTGGGAATGTAATCTAGGTTAGCTGTTTTGCCAGCTGAAATGGAAACTAACTTGGGATAGTCATGGGTTTTCAAGTACTCTGTTAAGCTTTCAAGGTGCCAGTGTTCAGGTATTATTCAGGTATTCAGGTATCTATTATGTTTCATTTAAGGATGTTACAGAAAGTTTACATGCTAACAATTCAGTGAAAAGTGACCATTTTGCTTGTATTTGCAAGTAAGTGTTACACTTTGCTACCAAGTTCCTGACAGTGAGTGTGCTGCCAAGGACACATGGTTAAGGACGTCACTGAGAAGCCAGAGAAAGTGCAACTTTATTGCCAACTAGGTTAGCTACCCAAGCTGTTGTTAGAGTAAAAGACCTCGTAGGCATAAGCAACTTGTAAGCTCTGCTAGCTCATCAGTTCATCTGAAGAGGCAGCTTGTGTTACTCTAATGTCCCTTAACTGTTTAAAATGATAATACATGTTCCTCTGTGCTGCTTCATTCAAGCCTACAGCCCTGAAACAGCCATATTTTAGGCCAAAGTCCATTTTCCTTCTTTCGTTAATTGGAAATCCATTCATGAACTCTTATGGTTACTCCAATATCAAAATTAGTCGGAATGCATAAAACTATAAAACTAACTTTCCAAGACACCCCTCTGGTACCAATATGTAAAGTAGGAACAAACACCGATCCTCATCCCCTTCACCTCTTTCAAGTGCCGTCAGTGTGGAAATACCACATTAGCCCCAGCAGCATTTTCACAAGCCATAAAATTCCCAAGGAATTGTATCGCTTGTGAAAATGCGATAATCACATTTTTATATTCTTACATAAGGGACTTCAAGATGTGTCATGAGTTCGGAATATGCACCTGAAAACAAACACATTCATGACAGAAAAACTGATCTACAGCAAGGTCTTTAATGCAACTAATCTTTTAACAACTAACCAACAGATTTTGTAGATACAGGCCAAAAATAACTGCTTTTTGCTGTTGAATAAGCCATGTCAGCTTTTTGTTAAAGTGCACCACCTGCTGGGCTTGCTTTTATTTTGGCTTCTCAGTTCAGTACAGGAGAAGCAGCAAATCTAGTCAGTCTTATCAAGCAATACAGAAAACGACTTACTGGTGTTATGTTGGCAAAGCAAGGTTGCCCTAAGTAGTAAATGAAGAGCTTCATTCCAAAACGTTTGTAACAATTTTGGGTTTAACAAGTCTCTGAAAAGAATAACAGCAGCTGTATAAGAGAAAACAAAACATCTAATGAAGGTGGTATTCATCATAAAGTGGCATAGATATTTCGTATATGTGTACTCCCAACAACATACGTCATAAAAAAAAGAAAATTCTTGAAAGTGGTCTACTATGTGTCTTGGAACCCTTCAAAGGCAGGGATGCCAGCAGTTGTGACTTTAGGTTTGGTTAAAAATGTAGTTTTTGATGAGCGTTTTGTTTTGTTAGAGTACATTTTAAACATTTAGTAAATGTACTTTGATTTAAGGTTAGATTTCTCATATTTACAGTGTGAGCTATTTAACCATGAAGATTTGCTTTTAACAATATTCACCAAGGGTGCCAGAAATGATGAAACTGACTGTAGTTTTCAATTGTGCTTTTATCTTTTTTTAACTTATATTTGGAATTTGGAGCTATTTCTATTGTCGCCTACATATAATTCACTAAGATGTACTTCTTTTTTTTAATGTTTTCAATTTTTTTTCTAATGTTACCCTTAGGATTCCTTTGACTAAACAGAATGCAGTCAGACTGGCTCACACTTTCATTTTATGTACCATAGAACAGTTTCAATCATTTCACTGTGGTTTTATAAGTGCACTGTGTTTTATCAATTGGCTCGAAGGACATTTTGGCAGTATTTCTCACAGAGCATTGTGGAAAAGAGGATGAAGCTGAAGTTGAAGCTTATTCACCAGCTTCTTATTCAAATTTTCTGCTCCACCTTAAATGATGCTGCAGTTACATTCTGGTAGCGGCACATCATTAAGGTAACTACAGCATTGTGTAAATGTGGTCGAATAAGAAGCTGGCAAGCACAAAGCCCATTTCATCCTTCTGAAAAGAGGAACAAGATAACACCCACTCGCTCCGGAATGAAAACTCTGATCCTTTTTAAAGAATTGAAAAAGAATCTGAAAATTGTTCCTTTCCAAAGAAATATGATTACAGAAATGATGAGTTTCCCTGACTTTCATTATGTGCAATAGGCTGATGGTGAGCTGTAATCATTTGCTAAGTCACCTGAAATTACTTGAAAATACAAATTTTCATCATATCACTGTAATCTGTACCTACTCAAAAAAGGGTAAACTATGTTTGGGATGGTTTAATCTCTGCTGTATCCCTTCATCATCAGCTCTGGGGCTGTCTTGGATAAAATTAAGTAGGGCTAAAGAGTCTATTCCAAGGGTGCACAACTCCGGTCCTGGAGGGCCGATGTCCAGCACAGTTTGGTGATTTACCTGATTACACTTATCTGATAATTGCCAGGTTAAGTGGGTGTGTTTGAGCAGGGAAACCTCCAAATTGTGCTGGAAACCGGCCCTCCAGGACCGGAGTTGTGCGCCTCTAGTCTATTCCATCGGCTCCTGTGGCAGCAGTCATGCATCAGTGCTAATTACTTGATATCAGAAAGTTACTTATACCTTTTTTAATTTTTAAAAACACTTAAATTATGCAGATGAACTGAGGTTAACCTAATTATCTCTATCATTGATTAATTATTAATTATTATTACTATCTAGGGTTCTTCTATTGTTATAAGCTTGATATCACAAAAATAGGAAAATCCCTTTGGTGCTGTATAGAGCCCTTTCAAAAAAGTAAAAAGACATTCTCATATACAAGACATCCTCGCCTGCAGTCCAGATCTGTCACCACTGAAAACATTTGGAGCATTATGAAATTAAAAATATGACAAAGGAGACCCTGAACTGATGAGCCGCTGAAATCCTACATCAAATAAGAAAGGGAAAACATTTCACTCTCAAAACTACAGCAGTGTCTCCTCAGTTCCCAAACACTTGCAGAGTGTTGTTAAAAGAAGAGGTGATGCAGCCCAGTGGTAAACATGCCCCCATCCCAACTTTTTTAGAACATGTTGTTGGCATCGAATTCAAAATGGGCATGTATTTTTCAAAAAACAATAAAATTTCTCAGTTTCAACATTTGTTTTGTAGTATTTTCCATTAAAAATATGGTTTACATGATTTGCACATCATTGCATCCTATTTTTCCAACGTTTTTGGAAATGGGGTTGTATAAATAACCATTGTCTTTACAAAAGAACCCCTAAAGAAGCATCTTTTTAAAGAGAGTACTCTTTTGACTTTGTAAGTCTCTATTTTTTTTTAAGAAATTTTAAGAACAAAATGAAACCATCATGAACATGAACAGAAATTAAACAAATATCTTGTTGATTTCCTTTATTTTGAATAAATCTATCAAAAACAAATGCACAAAACTAGCCTATATTAACGCTACAGGGACTTTAACGTTTCCAGTGGCAGAACCTAAAACCAGCAACAGAGCGATTCTATTGGTTAGTATTGTCGCGCAGACGAGTTGGATCAGCCTTTTAATTGGTTGAGTCTGCCACAACCCCGCCCCCTGAGAGGAGCCTGAAGACCTTTCCTAAAAAGCAGCAGAGCGGAACTTCCTTACCGAGACAAAACCGAAAGTACCAGTAACCGGACGGCGTTAGGGACGGAGAGGATTCTGGACATCACATGGTGAGTTTATAACGTGGTTAACCAGCGATGACGTGTTTTACTGACGTGTAGATTGAAAATAGCGCACACGAGTTCACGGCAGCTTTAAGGGAAACCGCAGTTAGTTTTCCATTTCTGCCCACAAAACGACCAACACATCCCTGTTATGGAGGAGACACACACCACAGACGGTCCATCGAGGACATTCAGAGTCATGTAGTGTAGTGTACACTGTAGTGGACACGCCAGTACAGCGGTTACTCACTGCAGGTAAGTGTCCTGCTAACGATGTGCACTAATAACACAGGCTGTGATGGTGCAAGTGGGTCTTGAGCCTGTTTCCTGTGTCTACTTCACGTCTTCCTCAACTGCTGGGTAGATTATACAAAATACTTCCTGAGAGTCTTGCAGAAGGGCTAAATAAGGTAATTACTTATTAATAAGCTCATATATTAATAAGCTCATATATTCGAAAGCTCAATGGTTTTTCTTATCAGGTACTGGCCTTTTGATTGACACATGATAAATTCAGATAAGGAGCTGCTGCTGGTTCCTGGTGGGGTCTAACAGTCACTAATGGTATTCTGTGTTTTGCTGATGGGTTCATATCACAGTGTAAAGGGTTCTAATGCTTTAACAGGTGTTCTGGGACTGATTCCACATTCATTTGATTGTTTCCCAATGGGGTCTAAAGGTGTTCTACAAGAATGGCATTTTATGTACCAAAAACAGTCGGAATTACTTTTCACTTGCTCATTTTCCAGTGTAATCACCAGTTAACACTTGCAACATTACTTGAGTAATATGTGATCAGATGTGACCATCATGGTCTGAAAAAGCACGTAATCATCCATTTTTCCCATGTCATCATACCTTTTTGTGTACCTTCGTGTGATAACACTTTTTTAATAACATGGGTCCAAAATCAGGTGTCTAAAAACCAAATGTGACTTTTCACATGTGAAAATCGTGTTTTTTTTTCTGTGAACGGACTGAAATACACCGATCACGCATAACATTCTGACCACCTCCTTGTTTCTACGCTATTTGTCCATTTTATCAGCTCCACTTACTATATAGGTGCACTTTGTAGTTCTACAGTTACAGACTGTAGTCCATCTGTTTCTCTGCATACTTTGTTAGCCCCCTTTTACCCTGTTCTTCAGTGGTCAGGACCCCCATGGACCCTTACAGAGCAGGTACTATTTGGGTGGTGGATCATTCTCAGCACTGCAGTAACACTGACGTGGTGGTGGTGTGCTAGTCTGAGTGGATCATACACAGCAGTGCTGCAGCTCCCAAGTGTTCGCCATATCATCAGGAGATTTGAGAAGATGCCACAGTCATCTGTGACTGAAAGTAGTTGTCCTCACTTCCCTTGGTTGGTAGGATAGTCATCTCTCCCCATCACTCTCCTGCTAGCCAGTGTGGCTGTCTGTTAGCTGACCTAACAGAATTAGCTGTTGTCATTCTCCTACAAGTGGCTTAACTTTAGGCCCCATTCGGCAATGTCTTCCTAAGTGTTTCCTCAAATGTGTTCTTGAGAAAGGTCCTAAGAAAGGCTACGTTCACATTGCAAGCCTCGTTGCTGAAATCCAGTTTTTTGCTCAAATCCGTTCTCTCTGACACGAGGGTTCACATAAGTAATTCAAATCTGTCATTAATGTGAACGAACCGGTGTCCTGAAATGACCCGCATGCACACATCCTACTCAGTAACGTCACATGTGCATCATCAGCACAAACTAACGAGCAGAACGAGCTTCGCTGTGAAGATAATTAACTCTGATCAGCTCTCAGGTTCATTATTAGAGCGAGACGAAGGAGAAAAAGGTGAGATGAGCTGCTTTTCCACCGTTTACAGGCTTTAACTTCTGTTTGGCGCTGTTGCCATGGTAACACTGAATGATGGCGCAAAGCGAAGTGGAAAAAAGCACATGAATTCTGATCTGAGTGTCACATTAAGGTCGCATGGCCTTGAATCGGATACGTATCCGTTCTAGGACCAGATATGAAAGTGGCTCAGGTCGGATTTGAAAAGATCAGATTTGCATCCACACAGCTCTGAAAACATCCGATCTGAGTCACAATAGGGCAAAAGATCGGATTTGTGCCACTTCAACCTGTTAATGTGAACGTAGCCAAAATGTCTATGTCAGATTCATGACATGTTCTTATAGCACAGAACTGTTCTCATCTTTGTGCTCTTAATTGTGTAGATTCTGTTCTTACCTAAGAACAAATCCCAAATAAGAAAACATTAGTGACTGTCAGAATCTTTGTGAAAAATGCTTAAGTGGGTTTTAAGAAGAAATTGCTTCAAAAGAACAGTTGGTGAATTAGACCCATTGTGTCACGACAGTTAGCAATCACTCTCCCCAGCTTTGGTAGCATTTTGTGACACCTAGGGGTGAAAAAGTGTGTTAAAAACTAATTAGCATTTGTAACATTTGTTTACATTCAGCACACATGAACAAACATCGAAGTAATATTTTCTGATATTCTTTATCTGATGTCTTAAAAACTCACTCTAACTCTTTATTCACAGAGGTCAAAGAGCAGCATCTCAGTTCTCTGGCTGTGTTCCTAAGAATTTCAGCTCCATAATGGAGCCTCATAACTCCAGTTGTGGTGGAGGAACCTCTGACCCAAAGTAAGTAGTTTTCTTTCACTGGCTAAAAATATACTGAGCTAGAGAATAAGAGTGGCATCTTCATCTCCCAGCTATGAGTCCATGAAGAGTGGCAGGATAGTGGAGGAGCCTCCTACATTCAGCAGTGGAGTTGTGCTTTTTAAACTAAAAAGGATGTGTGTGCTGCTACCGCTTGCTGTGTGAACCCAACATAAAAGGCTACATTGGTTGACATAGAAGAGTTTGCATGCATCACTATGCACTGGCTGTATTTCAGGGATGCTCTGAATGATTTGAGAAGATACATTGGTAACACTTTACTCTAGGGTGCTGTTCATAAGGCAACGTGACACTTACATAAGCTTATCATGAGAACTGAGAACGTGACTCTACATAACTATTTATAAATGCGCGTCAATAAGCGTCATTCACTGTAAAGATTACATTTGCCAATTTTGATCAAAGTCAGCTAAAGTAGCCATTATGACAGATGACTCATGTTGTAATAAGCATTTATAAAAAGTTATGTAGGGTTATGTCAGTTGTAATGACAACTTTAGGTAGGTGTCATGTAGCCTTATGAACAGCACCCTACAGTAAAGTGTTACCAATACATTTTCTAAATGGGTAGACTTTTGGTGATTTGCTGAAAATGTGGCTCTCCTATTGATTCTGTCCTGAATGTGGGGGGTCTTTGAACACATCTTCCATACATTTTTTGCCCCATATTTTCCTTACCTGTTTTTTTTTACACTGTGGTTTTTGGATGCCCCATTCATGAGGCCTGGCTCTGTGCATGGTCCTGTATCATCCTAGAGAAGTTCAGCCCAGGCCATAGTTTCTAGCACTAGTGCAGCTTTTTAGGAGAACAAGGGACACATCTGCCCCATGTTTTTTAAATTATGTTCTTGCCTTCTTCACTTACTGAGTGTTGCTTTTCTTTAAAGAGGTATTCTGCACAAACATTGCATGATGTACTTGGAGATTTTCAATCATGTCTTGACATTATCAAAAATATTTAAGGAAATTCAACCTAATAACACAAATCTTGTGAACGGCCTGTAGATAAGTTACAAAAATAATGATAATAATCAGTATTATTACAATAACACCACTACTATTAATACTACTTATAATAATAATTATTAAATACAATAATAAATATTAACAATAATAATAATAATGATAATAAATAATAATAATTTTATAACAACAAATACAATAACAGTAATATATGTTAAAATAATAACAATAAGTATAGTAGTAATAACATAATTATATATGACCACCAAAATAGCAAATTGGAGGCAGTAGTGTAAGATACTACAGGGAGATTCACTCGAAAGAGGCCCCGAATATTCTGCTGTAACTCCTGTTAGGTTGAAGCAATCTGGACCAAAAAAATACGCTACATACCTTAACGTAGGTGTAATCAATTGCATTACATTTGATGCTGGAAGTGATCTGCATTTTCAGCCAGACACATGAAGGGGTACGGAGGTATGCACCCGAAGTTGCAAACGGAGGTTAAATGTTGGGACAGCTGTCCGGCGCCTACCTCATCGCTCCGACGCAGGGGCATCCTGGCTTGTTTGAAGCTCCATATACTGAGGAGCACATTGCACGTTGTTTTGCTCAGATTGCTTATCTTAGCGAGAGTTAATACAGAATATTTGGGGCCTCTTTCGAATGAATCTCCCTGTATATATAAAATGGCAGAAGATTTATCTGTTTTTACAAAAGAAAGGCATTTTTCAGTAAAAACCATTTGTGATGTTTTAAATGTTTCTGTTGAACAGCACATTGACTCACAAAGGCCTTTCAGCCATGTTTGGAGAACTTCTGAATGAGTGTGTGAGGGACATCGGAAGCACCAGGTAATGTGACTGATTTCCTTACACTGTAAAGAATGATTTCGAATGAGTTAACTGAATATCTAATAGTAACTTAACAGAACAAGACTGTGTGTCTTACACTCTGCCATCCTAATCTTAGACATTCAGTTTACTCAGAATGTTATGAAGCCTGGTAACTAACTTTTTTAAGGTGAGACACCACATGTTTTTACAGTGTAGCTACGCTGTGAACATTTGTATAACTAGCTCTGCAGTGTGCGGCAGAATTAAAGAGTTTCCACTATCATGTTTTTAACTGATATTGTTCCGTCTTATACTCTCACTCAGAACATTCAGTTGGCTTGGCAAAGTTGCTTGTACTTGAGTTCCTCCCTCTTTTCCATCCCTTAATTCATCCAATTTCCCTTTTAGTTTTACATGGGGATTTTTTCAAACTGCTCTTATTTTAATGACATTAAGACCAAAACCACCAAACTTTCTATGGAGTATTGAGACATAGTACTCATCTGCTTTTCATTCCACCATTCATCCATTATTCCTCATTTTTCATCCCTTGCTTTCCATCCCTTACTTGTATATCAGTGTTCTTGTTCCTGTAATATAGTATATATATGTATATATTTAAATAAATAAAGTCAGATCCTCTAAAGTGGCTGTCTGTGTTTACATCCCTCCATAATTCCACTGAAACCCACTAACTTTCAAGCTAGAGCCATCAAACTTATTATGAAGATTCTGAAGCTGTTGACCAAAATCTAACTGCTTTTTATATATTCAGAGCATGTATCTGCAACCCCATTTCCCAAATATGAGAGCCACAGAGCCATGCTGCTGTAATACATGCAGAATGTGGTTTGTCATTGTCTTGCTAAAATATGCAGGGCCTTCCCTGAACAAGACGTTGTCTGGATGGCAGCATATGTTGCCAAAACATGTTTATATCATTCGGCATTAATGGTGCCTTCACAGATGTGCAAGACACCCAAGCCATGTGCGCTAATGAACCCCTACACCGTCATGAATACTGGCTTTTGGACTGGGCACTGATAACAAGTTGAGTGGTTTTTAGCCCAGAGGACACAGTGTCCATGATTTCCAAAAAGAATTTCAAATGTTCATTTGTCGGACCACAGGACTTCCCCTCAGTTCATTTTAAATGAGCTCGGGCCCAGAGAAGGTGGCAGTGTTTCTAGGTCCTGTTTATATATGGTTTCTTTTTGCATTTTAGAGTTTTAACAGAGACAATCTGTTTTCATAGAGAGTGTTTTTCAGAAGTGTTGCTGAGCCCATGTAGTGATTTCTACTACAGAATCATGTCTGTTTGTAATGCATTGCCGCCTGAGGGCCCAAAGTTCACGGCCAGAAAATACTTGTTTTTGGCCTTTTCCCTTACATACAGAGATTTCTCCAGAGTCTATGAATCTTTTAATGATATTATGTACCACAGATGATGAAAAGCAAAAGTTCTTTGCTGTTTTACATTGAGAAATGTTATTCTTGAACTGTTGCACTATTTGATCGTGCAGTCTTTCACTGCACCCCTCCTCATCTTTACTTCTGAAAGACTCAGCTTCCCTGGGATGTTTTTTTATACCCCATCATGTTACTGACCTGTTGCCAATCAACCACCTTTTTCTTTAGCATTACACAACTTTACCAGCCTTTTGTTGCCCCTGTCCCAACTTTTTTGGAACATGTTGTTGGTATCGAATTCAAAATGGGCATATATTTTTCAAAAAAACAATAACATCTCTCAGTTTCAACATTTGAAATGTTGCCTTTGTACAATTTTCAATGAAATATAGGGTTTAAATGATTTGCACGTCATTACATTTTGTATTTACATTTTGCACAGTGTCCCAACTTTTTTGGAAATGGGGTTTTATCTAACTTAACTATCCTTTCAGGGATGTGAAACTCTGATCTCATAACAATGTTATTGAAATATAATTCTTTAGGAAATGATTCAGTGCATTGTGAAATCTTAAAGTCCACCATTATTTAATTGCATAATTTTAACCTTTTAGTTGTGTTTCCGTCACATTTGACAAGTTAATTCTCTCTCTATCATAAATATGGTTTCTATCGTCTGACTGTCATAATGACTCAGTGTCCAGTCTAGGCATCACAATTCATAAATGATTGCTAGTTTCAGTGAATTTTAGGTGGTTTCTTTTAAAGCCAACAAATTGAATGCTCAGGGCCTTTTGTGTTGTAGCAAAGTTTTAACTAATAACTATTTAACTGTTCTCCCTTTTACCATTACCCCATTAGCACATAAGGCTTTTGTTTAAACTTCATCAGACCAAAGGAAATGGGTAGCAGTTTGTTTGAAAAAAAATATTTCAGCGAGACTGACTGTTGGAAAATTGAACAAATCTGCAGATACATACAAGGCATTCATCACAGCTCAATTCAGTAGCAATAGCAGATTTATCTAAACTCCAATCATCACAATCTCCTGTCCGTTAAAGCAGGAAAATCAGAGACCTAATGTCCAACATTTCTGTAAGTTTTAAGATGGATATGATGTTATGCCTGCTCAGACAAAATAGCTAGATGCTTTTCGCATCCTAACCACATGACTAAAACAGAGATTCGTACAGAAATCACTAACAGCTTTCCAGCGTTTCTCTAACGATCAGCTGACCGTACTTCATTTCCGTTTGACATTTCCGGGCAAGCACCGATGGAATCTTTGTGTGCCAAAAAAGGGGTACTGGCAAAAGTGACTCATTTTTCAAAGGATATATTAATGTTCCTTCTTCTTTTTTAATTTTGGCTGCAATTTTGATGCAACACCATTTTAAAGGATCAAAAAACATACTTAGCATTGTTTTGTCAGCTTGGTACTTAATGACTTTTCCTCATTTCTTGAGGACATTGGTTCAGGACCTCTCTTCAGGATCTCAGAATCCCTGCCCATAAAATATGGCTAAATGTAATGGATGTAATGGATTTCATGTTTTCATTACCGTATGGTTGTCAGCTCTGTACTGCTCCAGCCACCCCCCCCCCAAGAAAAAAACAGTTGATGAAGAGTTGAACAATAATTGGCAGTTCAAACCTCAATTTCAAACCGTTGGGACAGTATGAGTGCTAATCAAAGCAGAATGCAGTGTGCAACTATACTGGGATTTGCTGTTATATTTTGCACTTCATAAAGCTCCATGTTTTTAGTGGAAAGGTGATGGTCTGGGCAGCAGGCTAGTCCAGCATCCTCACTCTCTGATTACGCAGGCGTAGCAGAATGGGGTTTGGTGCTGTCCTGTTGAAATAAGCATAGATGTCTGAAAAACACATCAACAATATGGATGGTCCTTTTCTTCTGTGAACCGGAGAACACAATGTCCATTATTTCCATAATCAGTCTAAAGGTTTGACTTGTCACACCAATATTTGTTGGTATATAACACTGTGCATAGTACAGTCTTCAATTGCATTTGTGGATGCAGATGAATGATGTTCATTGTTGGTCTTAAATTGTACCTGTCACAACTTTTTTTGGAACAGACATCAATTTCAGTGAAGTTGAAAAGGGGAAATATTATTCTTGTTTAAATACAGGTCAAAGTGGGTTTACAAATACTGCTCACTGTTCTTATCTGGGTTTCACAAACTGTCACATAATGTAAAAATCGAGGTTTGTGTGTGTAGAACAGTGTACCTACTGTTGTCCTGTTTTTGAACTCCTCTCCATTAGAGCTGTTTTCTCTGAGAGATAATTAGTTCAATCCATAGTTACTAGTTGTCTTGTACCAATAAAGAGTTCAGGCAGTGTATGTAGTAGAGGTGGGTGATATGGCAAAAATATGATATGGCGATACTTCAAGAAATTTTCATGATACACAGTATCTCATGATAGTTATTTTCTCAGACATCTGATCAGCTGGAACTGAGGAAACAGAACCAGTAGTGCTACATTTTAAAAAATAATATAAAAAACTGTGAATACAAATTTTGAATTTTCGAATACTGTGTTTATTGTAGTGTTGTTTATTGTGTTTATTGTGACATAATTTATCATGACAACAATATAAATTGTCCTATTGTCCAGCCCTAGTAAAGTGAGTGTACAGAGAATGCAGGCTTATGCTTTTTTCAGGAGCACAAAAAAGGAAACGTTCAATTAACAAACGTTTTATGACTTTTTTTTCTGTTGAACAGCACTTTGACTGAGAGAAGCCTTTCGGCCATGTTTACAGATGTGTTGGAGGAGTGTGTTGGGGATTCCACGAGCAACAAGTAAAGTGTTTTGTTTTTTTCTTCAAAGGTTCACCTCATCTTGTAGTGTTTATTATAGTGTAGTTTTTGTTGTACAGTGCTGACATATTGTCTTTCTGAATGAATTATAAGCTCACCGGACAAAAAAATGAGTCATGAAACATACCTAATAGCATATAATAAGCTGCGATTCAATTTGGCATGGACTGGACTAGTTTCTGGATGTGGGCAACATCAATGTTCAGACTCTTGCATCAAACAGTTGTGCAGTTCAGCCAGATTTCGTGGATGCCTTCCCTGCGTCTTACTTGTTGTTCCAGGTCGTCCCACAGATTTTAAATAAGATTCAAATCTGGGGATTTTGCAGGCCAGTCCAGATGTGTGGCATCTTGGAATATAGGGATAGGAATGTTATGTTCCTAGATAAGGTGATGAGCCAAAGGCAATGTAGGCACTGCTGTTCAAATGTACTGTCACCTCATCCAAAGCACCATTTCCGCGGAATTAAAACACCCCCAGAACATTACAGAGCTCCTCCAGCTTGAACCACACCTTGCATGCAGTCCTCATTGAAGGCTTCCTGAGGTCTACGATAAACAGGATGCCAAGCATCATTCACATACAGGCAGAAACGAGATTCAAGTAATAATACGTATAAGTAACATATTTGAAATTTACATGTATTTTAGATTGTCGTGTATTTGGTGCTTTGTTCCACTTTTGCCTTAGTGACAGCATTTGACTTACATGGACCTTACAGATTCGTAAAAAAGTCTGATGAGTAGATAAAATCCACCTGAGAGCCATTTGAACGCATGCTTCAATGGGAGAGATGAGGGTAACGCTAGCTTATACCCGGTTACATAACATTAACATCAAACATTATGGCATCTGTCTTGACAATTACTGAATATTACTGAACAATATCTGGCATGACAGCTCATGACGGCACATGAAATCGTCCATGACATGTTTATAGTATGGTTATATCAATGTTATATATCAGAGTTCAAGTAAATTGTTACCAGTATAAAAGGTCATAACATGGTCAATGTCACACATTTGCTAAAAATTTGAATAGTGACTTAGAAATATTGCAGAATCTTGTATAATTTTTCTTCATTTTACTTGTCAGAACTTTTCTTTGTTTTGAATTATCATAATTGTAAAAAATTCTGTTGTTTGTTTCTGGGTTTCACTGCGTTTTTCAGTGTGGTCCCTTAGTTTTAGAGCCCACTGTCTTTATTTTCATAATATCTTGACTGTTACAGTCTTTGATAATGTTTTTCTTGATGGCTCTAGTTCGCAGACACAGGGAGCGACATCTTCAGCACACAGTGAGCCTGTTAAACGTGACTGGTCCATGGTGGAGCCCACTGGACTCAGCAGTGGAGATGAGCCATGTGAACCAAAGTGAGGCATCACCTTTCTGTCTAACATTAGTGGTTAAGGATAGTTTGAAATAACATGCACACAGAATTGCCCATTTGCTGTTCCATTGCTCTGACTTTAAAATTTGTGTTAATCTAACTATCTAAGTGACATAACTTGCAGGGGTGGACAAAGTGCAATAGCCTAATGTAGTAGTGGAGTAAACATAGATGTACTTCTGGCAAAATGTGTCTTGAGTAAAAATACAAGTATTCTGTTTGTATTTCCATCTGAGTAAAAGTACAAAAGTACTTACTTGTGAATGTACTTAAAATCAAAATAAGGTACTTTGAGTTGTTATTTTAATTTGATTAACGAGACCTGTTAAATGTTGCATGCAAGGCTTAAGGACCGCCATGCAAAAAGGTTTGTATACTTGTTATTATGTTTCAACTAGATTGGAGTTTTAATGTTAGCTAATGGTTGAGATGCATTAATAAGTTATCATAGCTATACATGAGTAATGTGTGTAAGTAGCTATATAATGGGTCCAGTAAAGACGTTAGGGGCCTCCAATTCCATGATCCACGTGCTTGAATTCTGGTACATAAGTCCTGTGTAAGTCATAATATCCTCTCATAGGTCAAAGAGATCAGCATCTCCAGTACCCAGCTGCATGTCTATGAAGAGTCACTCATCCAAGCTAGAGCCCCCTGAATTCAGCAGAGGAAATGCGACCTATGAAACGAAGTAAGTTCATATCCATATCAGTGTAATGTTAATGGTGAACAGTGTAGAAAAGTATCACATATATCGCACAGCACACTTTGAAATTCAACAGTAGAGCTGCCTCCTCTCAGAAAAAGGGACTCTAGGCCATAGTTGCTGGTCCTTTACAGGCCAGTTTGTTTGCATGTTTAAAAAATGACAGCCCAATAGTTTTCTGTCCAAGCCTGATCTGACCTGGCACACAGCACTGAGTTTAGAGTCCAAACACGATCCAGGCCCAACAAGATTTTGTCCGAACCCGGCCGACCCGAACAATGCCATGAAATTTTGACTTTTGATTGACGCCCAACCATGTTCTATCCATAACTGACCCAGACAGGCCCATCATCATCCAAAGTGCTCAATAAAACCTGATGTTTCTAATGAAAGTTAACAGTGACATGTTAAATTACTGCGTAGTGGCAACCAATTTCTAATTATTTCCTGCATTTAACAAAAAATACATTAAAAAAAAATCAACCAGACGTAATTTGACTGGGGCGCCCATACTTTTCCATACAACTGTAATTAATCTCATGATGTAATAACTGAAAAAAACGTACTGTGCGTTCTTTTAAGTGCTGTTGGGTATATTTAAAAAAAAAAAAGGAAAATAAAAATGCCTAACAAAGGAGACACTGAAATAAAGTTTTGTGATTTCAAAAAGTCAGTCAAAAAATATTTTTTAGGAAAACGTTTTGTTTTTGGCCAGCAAATTATACGGTAAGGACTTACTGTGTCAAAGTTTAGCCAAAATCTAGAAAAAAGGAAGAAGTAATATTGAACTATTCTTTGACAAATGAGTCAGTTTTACCAGTACACCTTTGGTCATAAAAAGCAAAAACATAAAAACATAGGTAGCTGTTCGCTAGACAAACAAGAAAATCTCAATCCAGAAGCCCTTTGATAATGTTTTTGTACGATGTCTTCAGTCAGCAGTTTTTGTATGATGTCTTCAGTCAGCAGGGTAAAAGAGAAGTATCTCCAGCACCCAGCACTGAGTCAGCATCTTTTGGACCAAAGTGAGTCATTACACTTAAGTATAACAACAATGTTGAAAAATAGTCAAAAAAGTTTTATGCATATAGAGCAGAACATTTATGCTGTTGCTCTATTCTTCAGAATTTACATTTTTGAAATATTAATAATAAGTCAGTATGCGTTCTTTCAACACAGAGTCACATTGTTGCTTTTTGTCCAATGATATGGTGCAAAATAACTGTAGAGAATGGTCTGAATTTCCAAGCATATGAACAAAATAGAGATCCATACAAAATGCACTTACTGTAGACGTCTTCATGTAACAAACAAAAAACAACAACATACAGTGGAGTCCAAAAGTTGGACAGCACTAGTGAAAATGATTCTATTTTGCATTCTTTTCTTATTTAATACAACATTTTGTCATTACAAATTATGTCATCAGTATAATAATTTGAGTGAGCAGTAGTATATTTGAAATTTAAATGTATTTTAGATTTTCGTGTATTTGGTGCCATGTTCCACTTTTGCTTTAATGACAGCATTTGAGATACTGGACTTCAGAAATTTGTGAAAAAGTCTGATGAGTAGATCAAATCAACCTGAGAGCCTTTTGAACGCATGCTTCAATGGTAGAGATGAGGGTAACGCCATCTTAAACTGCTGTATAACACTGACATCAAACATTATGGCATCTGTGTTGACAATTACCGGTAATACTAAAATGACACTGTTATATTACTGAACAAAATCTGGTATGACAGCTCATGACAGCATATGAAATCATCCATAACATGTTTATAGTACTGTTATGTCAATGTTATGTAGCAGGCTTCAAGTGAAGTGTTACCGGTGTAAAAGGCCTTAACATAGTCATTATCACAAATTTACTAAAATTTATAATAGTGACCCAGAAAGATTACAGAATCTTGAATATTTTTTCTTCATTTTACTTGTCAGAACTTTTCTTTGTTTTAAATTTTTGTAATTCTAAAACTTTCTGTTATTTATTTGTAGGTTTAACTAAAAAATCCCAGATTTTCATTGTGGTCAAAGAGTTTTAGAGCCCATTGTCATTATTTTCATAACATGTTGATTGTTGTTGGGTTATGGAATGTGTTTCTGAATTGTTTTGTCTGTAATGAGGTTTTGGAAAAAGAAAGCATCATGGTAACTTATAAATGACTGAACTAATGTTTACCTCTAAACAGTCTTTGATAATGTTTTCGCATGACTGCTCTAGTTTGCAGACACAGAGAGCGACATCTTCAGCACACAGTGAGCCTGTTAAACGTGACTGGTCCATGATTGAGCCCACTGGATACAGCAGTGGAAATGAGCCATGTGAACCAAAGTGAGACATCAGCTTTTAGTCTAAGTTTAGTTTAGGACGATAAATATCATGCACATAGAATTGCCCATTTGCTGTTCCATTGCTCTGACTTTAAAACCTGTGTTCTTATAACAAGTGGCATATAACAAAAGTACTTACTTGTGAATGTATTTAAATATTAAAATGATAATACTTTGAGGTATGTTATTTTGATTCAAATAGCAAGACCTATTAAATGATGCATCGTAGAGAAACTTATCAACTGGAAGTTTCTTTACAGTGGTGGTGATACACCAGGCAACATATTTGCAACCATTTCATGAAATAACTTTCTGTGACTGAGCTTTTGTAAACACCTAAAACTTCTGGTTCCTATCACGACCACTGTGAACAATTCTGACATGGCAAGTTTGTCTACAATGAACCATTTCACATCAAATCAGTCTAAATTAATGTGTTTACATCTTTTGTTTACATGTGTATAAGTAGCAATATAAAAGATCCAGTAAAGTCGTTAGGGTCCTCATGCAGCTGGCCTCCAATTCCATGATCCAGGTGCTTGAATTCTGATACATAAGTCCTGTGTAAGTCATAATATCCTCTCATAGGTCAAAGAGATCAGCATCTCCAGTACCCAGCTGCATGTCTATGAAGAGTCACTCATCCAAGCTAGAGCCCCCTGAATTCAGCAGAGGAAATGCGACCTTTGAACCGAAGTAAGTTCATATCCATATCAGTGTAATGTTAATGGTGAATAGTACTGTTATGTCAGTGTTATTTAGCAGGGTTCAAGTGAAGTGTTGCCACCGTGAAAGGCCTTAACGTGGTCATTACAAAAAATTTGCTAACAATTTGAATAGTGACCTAGAAATATTGCAGAATCTTAAATAATTTCTCTTCATTTAACTTATCAGAACTTTTGTTTGTTTTCAATTTTTATGATTCTAAAACTTTCTGTTGTTTATTTGCAGGTTGAACTGAAAAAATCCCAGATTTGTAGTAGAAATAGGGCAGAAAAGTATCACATGTATAGAGCAGCACACTTCCTCATGCTCTGTTCCTCTGACTTTGAAACTCAGCACTAGAGCTGACTCCTCTCAGGAAAAAACGGGACTCTAGGCCATAGTTGCTGGTTGTTCCTTTACAGGCCAGTTTGTTTTCATGTTAAAAAAAATGACACAGCCAACATGTACTAGAGCTTTAATTGGGCCTGAAATTTTAGTCCAAACTCCAATACAGCCCAATAATTTTCTGTCCAAGCCTGACCTGACCTGACACACAGCACCAAGTTTAGAGTCCAAACCTGACCCAGGCCCAACAAGATTTTGTCCGAACCCGAGCGACCCAAACCGAAAAAAAAATGTTGAGTTCCAATCCACGCCAAGCAAAGTTAACCATATATATGTTCGTTTGTTTGGCTGTAGTTTGGACTGCTGAATGAAATTCAGGTGAAGAAGCTTAGCACCCTCAGCCACTCGTTTAACCTTGCAGAGCTGAGAGACAGAGACAGTGATAACAGGCTAACTGATTGGTTTTACTGATTACCATGACATGTAAACGGCAGTACAAAACATTAAAATATCTCACCAAACTAAATTGAACTCAAGCAAGTAAGCAGTGAAATATGAACTGGACTATCTATTCAGTAAAAACCAGCTAAACAAAGATTTTAAAAGATTTACATCATTTACGTACCTTTTTATCTTTGCCATTATCTAAGTTAGCAAAAATCCAGTAAGACCCATCTGTCTCCTTATTTCACATAAAATTACAGCACATCTTTTTGGAAACTTTGGGATGTCCATCGTTACAAGGATGTATAAAAGTGTAACTGTTTGTTACAAATCGAAAACTGGAATATTTTAATTAAAAAATTATTTCCCAATGAGAATTCAAAGTCTGAAAGATGATGTTTCGACCAGCACTTGTAATGAAAGTAGGGAGAATAAAGTGATGAGGGAACTAGAGCAGGGAGGAACGCAGGGTAACGTCTGTTAAAAGTAAGAAGCAGGCTGATTTGAACTGGACATATATTTGGGACATGATGTCCAAACCCGACCAATCCCGACATCAGCAGTCAAAAATTTCTAACACACACATGCATAACGACCAGTAAATCAGTTTACTTCTATATAATAAACCATAGCTAAAAATGTGTTTGGTTAAAAAATTTTTGATTCAACCTCCTCATAGTGGCCCTGAACAGTTTGGAATAATTTAATTACATGCTGGTATAGACTTAACCCAGACCACTATACTGCCAACAATCAAGTATGGAAAAACCTTATACCATTCTTATATAACTAGAATACCTGTTACTTGCTTATTCAGAGCAATCTACAAATGTAATTATTTTACAGAGGTTGGCAAACAGAGTTTTGTCCAGTGTAGTATGCCTGCCCAAGCTAGGAACTGAATCCCGGTCTGCTGTGTGGAGGCCAGGGTTTGTTACTCAGTGTGCTATACCAACCACATGGAGAAAAGGCCCATATAGAAATCACTGAAAAGAGTCATACAGAAATAACTCCAATCCAGTTCATTATGTACTTCATGAAATCACTGAAATTAATGAATTTACTAAGACTTTGGCTACGTTCACATTACCAGGTTGAAGTGGCACAAATCCGATTTTTTTGCCCTAATGTGACTCAGATCTGATGTTTTCAGGTCTATGTGGATGCAAATCTGATCTTTTCAAATCCGACCTTAGCCGCTTTCATATGTGGTCCTAGATCAGATTCGTATCGTAAGGCCATGCGACCTTAATGTGACACTCAGATCAGAATTCATGTGCTTTTTTCCATTGCGTGTGCCATCATTCAGCGTTACCATGGCAGCAGCACCGAACAGAAGTTAAAGCCTGTAAACGGTGGAAAAGCAGCTCATCTCACCTTTTTTCTCCTTCGTCCGGCTCTAATAATGAAGCTGAGAGCTGATCAGAGTTAATTATCTTCACAGCGAAGCTCGTTCTGCTCGTTAGTTTGTGCTGATGATGAACGTGATTTGTGACGTTACTGAGTAGGATGTGCGCATGCAGATCATTTCAGGACGTCGGTTCGTTCACATTAATGACAGATTGGAATCACTTACCTAAACGAGTGTGAACCATCGTATCAGAGAGATCGGATTTGAGCAGTGAGGCTTGCAATGTGAATGTAGCTTTTGTCTAGCTGCTTTGACCACTATCATTGTTAAAGTCTCCCAACAACATGCTTTTGAGACAGTTCCGCAAAATTAAACAGCATTTCCAATGTCTCCTCCTATGTTTTGCACAATCCTCCCTCAACTGCATATGCATGAGAGAGTAAAACATTTCAGTATTGAATGACTTCAAAATGGTCTTCAGTACAGATTTTGTTTGATGTCTAGTTTGCAGACCCAGAAAGCTGCATCTTCAGCTCCCAGCTGTGTGTCTATGAAGAGTGACAAGTCAATGGAGCGTCCTCCACAACTCAGTATGGAAACTGTGACCACTGACCCAAAGTGAGTTAAGACCTTATACTGCTGTCTTATTATTCAGTTATTAGTCTTAAAACATAACATTCAGTGACTATTATGGATTATTTGGCTATTGCTATGCAATACATTTTGGACGAATGATGTTATTCCATCTGCCACTGAACTACAGCTGCTGTTTTTGAATGTGCAGGGGAAAAGTCATACCTTTCATAATCATAATGTGCCTGAAATTAATGTTGAATTTACTACTGCTGTGCCTTTGTTTCACTGCGATGACCAATACCATAGCTAAGGTTTCCCAATAACATAAATATACATACACCGATCAGGCATAACATTATGACCACCTCCTTGTTTCTATGCTCATTGTCCATTTTATCAGTGCCACTTACTATATAGGTGCACTTTGTAGTTCTACAGTTACAGACTGTAGTCCATCTGTTTCTCTGCATGGGTGGTGGATCATTCTCAGCACTGCAGTAACACTGACGTGGTGGTGGTGTGTTAGTGCATGTTGTGCTGGTACGAGTGGATCAGACACAGCAGTGCTGCTGGAGTTTTTAAACACCTCAGTGACACTGAGTAGTCCACCAACCAAAAATATCCAGCCAACAGCGTCCTGTGACCACTGATGAAGGACTAGAGGATGACTAACACAAACTGTGCAGCAGCAGATGAGCTATCGTCTCTGACTTTACATCTACAAGGCGGACTGACAAGGTAGGAGTGTCTAATAGAGTGGACAGTGAGTGGACACAGTGTTTAAAAACTCCAGCAGCACTGCTGTGTCTGTTTCACTCAGACCAGTGCAACACACACTAACACACCACCACGTCAGTGTTACTGCAGTGCTGAGAATGATCCACCACCCATGCAGAGAAACAGATGGACTACAGTCTGTAACTGTAGAACTACAAAGTGCACCTATATAGTAAGTGGAGCTGATAAAATGGACAATGAGCATAGAAACAAGGAGGTGGCGATAACATTATGCCTGATCGGTGTATATACACATATATATATATATAAAAGAGTAAAATGCATCTCAGTATTCAATGACTTCAAAATGGTCTTTAGTACAGATTTTGTTTGATGTCTAGTCTGCAGACCCAGAGAGCTGCATCTTCAGCTCCCAGCTGTGTGTCTGTGAAGAGTGACAAGTCCATGGAGCGTCCTCCACAACTCAATATGGAAACTGTGACCTTTGACCCAAAGTAAGTTATCCTCTTATACTGCAGTCTTATTATTCAGTTATCAATCCCAAAACTTATAACTCAGTAACTACTGTGGATTATTTGGCTATTGCTATGCAGTATGTTTTACTGAGCGATGTAGTCTAACCTGCTTAACATGAGTCCAAACTACCTCAAATAGAATCTAGCATACATTAAACACACATGCACTCAGCTGTAGAAAGTAATTAGGCAAAATGAAAAATGATTATAGCTCAGTCATATTTTATAGTTAACACATCACCAGATTGCATGCTTTATTTTAACCCCTTAACAGGCCAGAGCTGCTGGTGGGCCCAAAGTTTTATTACACACTTCTATAAGCTAAGAATAACTTGACCAGTTTGCACTGAAGTCCCTGTAGGTACTGAATAATAAGCCTTAGTATGTAATTAGCCTGAGATTTCAAGGGGTTAATGTAGCATGGATCTCACTATCATTGTTAAAGTCTCCCAACAACATGCTTTTGAGACAGGACTGCAAATTTACAGCATTTCCAATGTCTCCTCCTATGTTTTGCGCAATCCTCCCTCAACTGCATATGCATGAGAGAGTAAAACACATTTCAGTATTGAATGACTTCAAAATGGTCTTCAGTACAGATTTTGTTTTCATGTCTAGTTTACAGACCCAGAAAGCTGCATCTTCAGCTCCCAGCTGTGTGTCTATGAAGAGTGACAAGTCAATGGAGCGTCCTCCACAACTCAGTATGGAAACTGTGACCACTGACCCAAAGTAAGTTGAAGACCTTATACTGCTATCTTATTAGTCTAGTGCAAGTTATTAGTCTTAAAATGTAACATTCAGTGAGTATTATGGATTATTTGGTGATTGTTATGCAATACGTTTTGGACGAATGATGTTATTCCATCTGCCATTGAACTACAGTTGCTGTTTTTGAATGTGCAGGGGAAAAGTCACACCTAGATTCTGTGAAAAATAATTATTTGTTTCTGTTGGTCCCTGTCTGACCAACTAGATTGATTATGTAATAAAGGAATACTGTTTTCCAGTGTTGTTCTGTATCAAGACATATTTTATGTCTTTTAGTAGTTGTGATAGTTTCTTGAGGAGATATAGCACCAAATGTGCGCTGATGTGGTTGGTGTATGTGGTCATAATGTGCCTGAAATTAATGTTGAATTTACTACTGCTGTGCCTTTGTTTCACTGCAATGACCAATACCATAGCTAAGGTTTCCCAATAACATGCTTTTGAGTAACTACCACAAATTTACAGCATTTTATATATATATATATATATATATATATATATATATATATATATATATATATATAGTAAATAGCATTTCAGTATTTAATGACTTCAAAATGGTCTTTAGTACAGATTTTGTTTCATGTCTAGTCTGCAGACCCAGAGAGCTGCATCTTCAGCACCCAGCTGTGTGTCCATGAAGAGTGACAAGTCCATGGAGCGTCCTCCACAACTCAATATGGAAACTGTGACCACTGACCCAAAGTAAGTTATCGTCTTGTACTGCAATCTTATTATTCAGTTATCAATCCCAAGACTTATAACTCAGTAACTACTGTGGATTATTTGGCTATTGCTATGCAGTATGTTTTACTGAGCGATATAGTCTAACCTGCTTAACATGAGTCCAAACTACCTCAAATAGAAAGTAATTAGGCAAAATGAAAAATGATTATAGCTCATTCATAATTTATAGTTTATATATAACACATCACCAGATCGCGTACTTAAAATTAATGCAGCATGGATCTCACTTTGAAGAGCAAGCCTTTGAAAATGAATTTAAACTAAATTATTTGTGGTTTTATTAAACAGTTAACAGCGTTTAGTTAGTTGGCATAAGCTAGTTTGGGAGCTAATGCTAACACTGTTAGCATTTATGCAAGCCTTCAGTGAACAAATGTTTTTGCTCATATGTTCACACCTGACAAAGAAAGTATAAGCTTTTTTGATTCAGCACAAAATTCTGTGTAACTGATGTAGACATGTAGACATTTATGTGAGTAGCACCACTTGTCCTGCTCCTGCCTGCAACCTAAACATTGTTTCCTGCTCCCATTCGCAGTTCAACACATAGCTGAATTCTATCAGTGTTAGTCATGATTGAAAATGACTGAAAATAACTGTCAAACTTGCCTTTAGTCTGATTTATTATAGTGTATTTGCCTTTCTTAAGCACATTTTTCACAGCTGTGGCTGTCTGTGCACCGCCATCTCTGTAGCCTACAAGAATGCAGTTCCTTCACACCTATTCAGGGTGAGCTTTTGAAGCTACAAAAGTGACTTAATAATATATAAGATATGATAATCCTTTATTAGTCCCACAATGGGGAAATTCTCAGTGTTACAGCAGCAAAGGGATAGCAAGCCACTCAAGAAAAAGAGAAGAAGTAACAAGAAGAGAATTAACAAGCAAGTAATTAACTTTGTTAAGTACTTAACAAGTTTTTTTACAGTTTGTTACTTGTTACTAAATAAACAGTATATATTAAAACTAAACATAAAAAATATGCCAGTTATTAAGTAAATGTTATCATTTTATTTAGGCTATTCAGTCATTCATTTACAGGATTTCTCTACATGTTTCTATTGTCCTGCTCACACCCTCACTGGGCTGGTTAATTGCCCACTCCCACACATGACAGAGAAAATTAGCCCCTGAACTGCAAGATATTGTAGGCCTACAGGAGTCCCATGGGAATGCAGACCTATACACTAGAGTTCGAATTGTGTCCAACGTTTTGTGGTTTTGTTTGGCCCCTGTATGGTATGATCCCTGTACCATTTCTAATCATTTTGCTGATATTTGTTCCCTATCAGGCAGCACTCCACAGAGGCAGCAGAGCAACAGGAATCCAGCCAACCAATAGATGATGTCTTGCACAGAGTCTTAGAGAGACACAAAATACACATGAAGAACAAGTGTGAGAGCTTATTTGAGGTAGTCCAAATACAAAAGAATAAAACGCTCCTGAACAGAATTTACACACAGCTCTACATCATAGAGGGAGAGAGTGAAGGCGTGAATAAAGAACATGAGGTTTTACAGATGGAGAAACAACCCAGGAAGCAGCACTTACAAGACACCGCCATTAACTGCAATGACATTTTTGAATCCTCGGTCGAACCAGTACTCGAGGAAGATATAAAACACAGGAAGAACCTTAGAACAGTGATGACTAAGGGCATCGCAGGCATCGGAAAAACCGTCTCTGTGCAAAAGTTCATTCTGGACTGGGCTGAAGGAAAAGCCAATCCTCATATTGATACCATGTTTGTGCTTCCATTTCGGGAGCTGAACTTGATTAAAGATGACCAGTATAATCTTCATACGCTTCTGTGTAACTTCCATCCTGAGCTCAAAGATCTGGATATAAAGATGTATGATATGTGCAAAGTTGTGTTCATCTTCGATGGTCTAGATGAAAGTAGAATCCCACTGAATTTTTCACAGTGTGAGAAAGTATCTGACATCACCTTGACATCATCAGTGGGTGTGCTGATGACAAACCTCATCAGGGGAGACCTGCTTCCCTCTGCTCTCATCTGGATAACATCTCGGCCGGCAGCAGCCAATCAAATTCCCCCTGAGTACATCAACCGTTTGACAGAAATTCAAGGATTCAATGATCCACAAAAGGAGGAATACTTTAGGAAGAGAATAAGTGATCAGGATCAGGCTGACAGAATCATCTCACACATTAAAACAGCTAAGAGCCTCCACATCATGTGCCACATACCAGTCTTCTGTTGGATCTCAGCCACTGTTCTTCAGGAAATCTTAGAATGCCGTATCAATGCAGAGATCCCTAAAACGTTGACAGAGATGTACATACATTTCTTGCTCATTCAGACACATGTGAAAAACCAGAAGTATGGAAAGGCCAAAGATAGAGACCTAACAGAACAGCTGGGACCCAACAGAACCATGATTTTAAAACTGTCCAAACTAGCGTTCAGACAGCTGGTGAAGGGCAATGTGATGTTCTATGAAGAAGACCTGAGAGAGTGTGGCATTGATGTCAAAGAGGCCTCGCTGTACTCTGGAATTTGCACTGAGATCTTTAAGGAGGAATCTGTGCTTTACCAGAGGAAAGTTTACTGCTTTGTGCATCTGAGCTTTCAGGAGTTCCTGGCTGCTTTCTATGTGTTTTATTGCTATATGAACAAGAACATGGAAACACTTCAGTATTTTAAACCACCATACAAAGAGTGGTCTGAGAATGTAACGCTTGAAGATCTGCTTGAGGGAGCAGTGCGTAAAGCCTTAAAGAGTCAGAATGGAAGCCTAGATCTTTTCCTCCGTTTCCTGCTGGGCATCTCACTGGAGTCCAATCAAAGACTTCTACAAGGCCTACTAATGCACACACAAAGCAGCTCAGACAGCATCAACAAAATCATAACCTACATTCAGAAACAAATCAAAGGAGAGGATGAGATGGAATTGGAGCGGATATCAGTGATGATGAACATCTTGAAGATGATGATGAAAAAACTGGAAGAAAGACAGTGTCTTCCTGCTGACAGATCCATCAACCTGTTCCTTTGCCTGACTGAAATGAATGACCAGTCTTTATCTAGAGAGATCCAGACGTATCTCAAATCAGAGAAACACTCAAAAATCCTGTCTCCTGGACAGTGCTCAGCTCTAGCCTGCATGCTTCTGATCTCGGAGGAAGTGCTGGAAGAATTTGAGCTGAAGAAATATAACACAACAGAGGAAGGTTATAGAAGACTGATCCCAGCTGTAAGCAACTGCAGAAGAGCTCTGTAAGTGTTTCATCTACTTAAAAATTCTCAGTATTAAAATTAATTTATGTTAGCAATAGTGATGGCTGAATTCTTTAAAAACATTAAATATTGGCTACAAACAAGTATTTGATCTCTAAGCACATTTGCTATTTCATACCATTCCCTTAACATATAGTTGTAGTTGTTGTTTCATGCTACAAAAATGGTATCCTAAACAACACACTGCATTAGCAAAGGCCTTTAAACAGAACAAGTAATTCTCCATAGATGGAAAATGTTAAAATAAATAAATTATCGTGATGATAAAATCCCAATTTGAAATGGTGACACCCTTAGATGTGAGCAGCTGGGGTTTAGCCTCACTGTTAACACATTGTTGGACATACTGCTGGACATTTTTGAACTACAGTAGTGAACATACTTTAAATTGCAATGACTTCAAAATCCATTAAGATGTATTCAAACTCCAGAGTTAAATACCTCTGGTATATGGAATCAAGTTTTGTACTGCACGCTATATAATAAAAATATATGAATTTGTAGCATCATATATCGTCATGAGTAGCACTATATATGCATATGGCATTATCTCTGTGGTCACTGACAGCTTTGTAAATCAGTTGCCAGGAAAAAGTAAACAAGTAGTATTTACAAGAATTTGTGCATTACTAATTTTTGAAGTATGCTATTATATCACTTGCTTATTATTGACATTATTATATAGTGTGATACACACTGACTGGCCACTTCATTAAAAACACCTCCTTGTTTCTACGCTTATTTTCCATTTTATCAGCTCTACTTACCATAGAGGTACACTTTGTAGTTCTGCATTTACTTATTAATTCTCCATCTGTTTCTCTGCATAATTTGTAAGCCCCCTTTCAGCCTATTCTTCAATATATAGGACCCTCACAGGACCACCACAGAGCAGGTATTACTTGGGGGGTGGATCATTCTCAGCACTGCAGTGACACTGACATGGTGTTAGTGTGTTTGTGTGTTGAACAGGTATGAGTGGATCAGACACAGCAGTGCTGCTGGGGTTTTTAAGCACTCACTGTCCACTGTATTAGACTCTCCTTGTTGGTCCATCTTGTAGATGTAACGTCAGAGATGATAGCTCACATGCCGATGCTCACAAGACATTGTTGGCTGGATATTTTTGGTTGGTGAGCTATACTCAGTCCAGCTGTGACACTGAAGTTTTTAAAACTCTAGCACCACTGCAATGTCTAATCCACTCGTATTAGCATAACACTAACACACCACTACCATGTCAGGTCACTGCAAGGAGGTGGTTTTGATGAAGGTGTTTTTTTTGGTGGTTTTGACTGAAGTGGCCAGTCAGAGTATATTCTATATGTGCTTCTAGAATACAGGAACTATATGATTTTAGAGTAGTATTAATATATGTTTATGTATATGATGTTTACATTAATTTGGTTGATAGTGACACTATGTTGTCTTCTTCTGCAGACTAGCTGGTTGTAATCTGTCCACAAGCTTCTGTGAAGTACTAACATCAGCTCTACAATCAGCAAATTGTCCCATGAAAGAACTGGATGTCAGTAACAACATCCTGCAGGATGCAGGAGTGGAGCTTCTCGCTGGGGGACTGAAAAGTTCCAACTGTAACCTGGAGATTCTAAGGTGAACTTTCTTTCTCTGTATGTTTGCCCTACATAGCATAACATAACACCTGCACTGTTGCTACTGGTGGCAACTAATTTAACAATTAATTTGGCAATTAATTTGACAATTAATTTAAGGTTTTCACAGGTCTAACTAGTTTTTTTTCATTGGGGTTGCTGTTTTCTGATGAATTGTTTCTTTTTGCTTTGCATTTGCAGACTCGCTGGGTGTAATCTCACCCAAAACTCCAGTGAAATTCTCAGCTCCATTCTGAAATCAGCAAATTCCACCCTAAAAGAACTGGACATTGGTTATAACATCCTACAGGATTCAGGAGTGGAGTTGCTCTCTGATGGACTGAAGAGTTCAACTTGTAAACTGAAGATCCTGAGGTGAGCTCTCAATTATTTTAACAAACATTATAAAGTCAACTTTATATTTCTTCCAGTTAATTGCAAGCCATTGTATGTTCTAATGAAAGTGACTGGTGACACAGACATTATTCTGCATGATCAGATTACCAATTGCAAAATGGCATAATAAAAAAGAGGCAGCTGGTGGTGTGATCATTTGATGATCATGAGAAACTGTTAATTCAAAGTTAAATTGAAAAGACAGCAATTAAGTTGTTATCCAACCAAATGGAGTCAAGTGAGACCTCCTGGACAGCACTGAGCCTGATCCTTGCTGTTTTGTTTAACATACAGTATCTTAATTCAGGTCTTTATAAATCTCATCATATGTTTTTGCTGTCACTCCAGTAAGCTGTATTGCTTATGGATTTTCTAGTGCAGTTCTGAAGAACCACAACATTGCACATTTTTGCAAAGTCTCTAGAATTTTGTAATTTTGTTAAGATGCCATTACCCTAGTGTCTTTAATCAAACTGTGTTTACTTTGCCATTGTAGGCTGCCTGGCTGCAATATCACCACAAAGTCTTGTGAAATACTAACATCAACTCTGCAATCAGCAAACTCCAGCCTGAAAGAACTGGACCTCAGTAACAACTTTCTGCAGGATGCAGGAGTGGAGCAGCTGTCTGCTGGACTGAAGAGTTCATACTGTAAAGTGGAGATACTCAGGTGAGTTTTCTGTGAATCCTAAATGATAATGAATAAAATATTTCTTCCTGAGACCTGAATGCTGATTTAACATAGATTATGTTTGTAATGCCAATAATTTGCCAGAAATTAGATAAATGTGATGTGATATTTAAGTGATATTTAAAGGAAAAGATATATGTCAAAACATAGGTTAAAGTTGAAAAGTAATAGTAGTAGTAATAGTAGTAAACTGACTACTTTACCATGTTGCTAATGTTATTGATGTTTTACCCTTTTTTACTCAGTATAAGGTTCTATATACACCATGTATACAGTTGTAAGAAAAGGTTTGTGAAATCAGACAAGCAAACAGAATGTTAACAAGTATTTAACTAAGGGTAAAATAAAATAAAAACAGAATAAATAGAGAATAAAGAAAAATAAAAAATAATAAAGAGCCACGAAGAGAAGCTGAAGAGATGTGTGAATATCTATACATATGCAGGTCTGAGTAGACATGTACTAAAACCCTATGTAAACTAATTATGTACAGAATATTACAGAATGATATGAATCCAAAGCTCACATGAACGTCAACACTGAGCTACTTCAAGAAACAAAAGATAAAATTTTGAAATGGCCTTCATGGCCCCAGACTTGAATATTATTGAATCTGTGGTTAGATCTCAAACATGCACTGCATGCAAGACAACCTATGAATATTTTTAAACTAAAAGGATTTTTCAACAAAACGTGAAAAAAGGAATAGAAAAGCTGTTAGTTGTAGCTGTTAGTTGCTACAAGAAACTTTTAGAGGCTGTGATTTCAGCCAAAGGGGTTTTACTAAGTACTGATTGACTTACACACGGTTTTACACATGCCACGGTTTTACTTACTGTCTTTGTCTTTTTCTTTGTTAAATTCAGGAAATAATAATTGTCTGTTAAAATTGGCAGAAATATGTAATATTTAAGTTTGTTCCATGCAGAGGTGTTGCTAACTTTTTTACTTAAAAAATCAACAGATTATGTAATGTTACCTAGGGTGTCAAAAGATACATACAATATATTTTTTACATTAGCTTAATTAAAGTGGTCTATGTGCACTAAATTATGCAATAAAATTTGTGGAACACAGCCTGTTTATGTAGCTTATTTTTCTTTTTTATTATGTTTAGTTCTGTTTTTTAGTTTGCACTGTAAACAAATGATATACTTTTTTTTACCAAAAAAGTAAACCTGGTTAAGTTAAAATAAGTAAACAAATGAAAAATCCAAATTATTGTTCTGTTGACTTAATTTTATGAATTTCAATTAACTCAAAATTGGACTTTTTTGGTTTGAAAGTTGCATCTTTTTATTGTGTTTATTTTATTTTATAGTGTTTATTTTTGTTTCTCATCATGAATGCTACTTACGGCAAAGCAAACCTTTTCAAAGCAGTAATGGGGTAGTCACTCAAAGCTTCTGCACATTAGTGACACTGGCTTTTTTACATGTTTACATGCAAAGATTTTTGCCAATCCAATTGAATATATTCTGATTATAGATTAAGACGAGGTGTTTAAATGCACTCTGTTCAACAATCTGATGGAAAAACTCTGTTTACATGCACACTAATAATTCGATACAAAATAACATGCATGCATAGAGAACCACTTAGTGTAGATGTTACCATGACAACGAGCATCACGTGAGTCCAGTCAGAGTGAGATGAGCAGCAGTTAGCAGTGCTTGTGTTTTTAATTACTTTAAAATGATGTCGAACTCAGGAAAACGTACTTCACATGTACTTATTAAAGAAGGGTGAGAGGAAGACGTCGTGTTCTGAGACACATGAGCTGGACGTCCGTCCCACTGCCGTCTTTTAAACAACAGAGAATAAAATTCGTCTCCTCTGCTGACCAGTTTCTGCTCCCGCCATGTTGAACACACATGCGCAGAACATACATAAACTTGCAGATTGGGAATGTAATCAGATACAGGCATTTAGGTGGTTATTATTCTTTTATTTAACTGATTATTTACAAGATTACCCACATTATTATTCTGAATGGCCTCAATTGGACTAGACTAGTGTTTACATGGACGTATTCTATTCCGATCGAGTTATTAGTTGGATTATTAATGAATTGTCATGCTGCAAGTAAACGGCTATTGTGTGCTCAAAAGGATGAACATCAGCTATAAATCTGCTGTCCTACAAGGTTTTTAACATGTTCTGCACCTTTAGTATGAAGGGCAACATCACTAACGTTTTGTTTCTTGTACCATATTTACTCTTTGCAGACTAGCTGGTTGTAAACTGTCCATTAGCTCCTGTGAAATACTTTGTTCTTCTCTAAAATCGGCAAACTCCCTGCTGAAAGAATTAGATCTTAGTAACAATGACCTACAGGATTCAGGAGTGGACCTGCTCTCTGCTGGACTGAAGAGTTTACACTGTAAACTGGAGATACTCAGGTAAGCTTTTGGGCAGCATAGACTTCTATTGTATTACTCTTGTAACCTTGTAAATTTCAGGCACCAAACATGTGCTGGGGTAAGAGAAAGTATGTGTATGTGTGTATCTATTAGATTTTGGTGCATGTGTTTAAGGTGCTCATTAAAGTTTATCTCAAACAATCTCTCTTACAGTGCTGTTTTTTCCTTATTATCTGTAGATTGTCTGGTTGTTTGGTGACAGAGAAGGGCTGTTCTTTTTTGGATTCAGCTCTAAAATCAAACCCCTCACATCTGAAAGAACTGGATCTGACCTACAACCAACCAGGAGACTCAGGAGTGAAGCTACTCTCTGCTAGACTGGAGGATCCACACTGCAAACTAGAGACTTTTAGGTATCTACAGTGGGGTCCAAAAGTTAGAGACCATGTTGAAAATTTGTGATTTTTTTTGTTTAACCTGGAAGTAAACAACAGAAATGTTAGAATATTAAAAACAAAGAAGTTATGTTACATGAAATGAAGAAGAAATATTCAAGATTCTGCACTATTTCTAGTTTACTCTTCAAATTTAGACAAGTTTGTGTTTATGTTAAGCCTTTGTTCAAAAAGATCAAATTTTTTGTCCTTCCATTGTAGCTCGTGATCAGATGACTCTCAGGTGGATTTGATCGACTTATCATAAGCTTTTGCATACAGACTGGTGGAGTTCAAACTCATTAAAATTTCAAAGATTTCACTTTTCCCTCAAATTGATTTGCTGATAATCTAATTTGTAATGAAAAACTTCTTATTAAATTAGAAAAGAATGCAAAATAGAAGCGTTTTCACTTGTGTCTACACGTCTAGTTTGGCCCCTTTATATTTTCGATTAAAGCGTGAATTGTTCATTCATTCAGATTTTGAATTGAACATGTCAAAAAAAGCAGAACCATAAAAAGATGCTGCCACCACCATACTTGATGCATGAATGTGTCTTCCTGCAAATTCTAATCAAGCATGATTTTTTGTTGTTTGTGTGTCATCTTGCCCCTCTACCCCTACAGCTTAGGGGTGTGTGTGTGTGATTTGTTTTGATTCCATGCCCTCTGACTGCAGTACTTTGAATTGTCTTGTCTGACGTTTTTGCAGACTAGCTGGCTGTAATCTCACTACGGATTCTTGTATGACACTTGCATCAACTCTACAATCCAAAAACTCTACTCTGAAAGAATTGGATATCAGTACCAATGACCTGCAAGATGCAGGAGTGGAGCTGCTTTCTGCTGGGCTGAGGAGTTCACACTGTAAACTGGAGATACTTAGGTGAGCTTTATATGAATTGATTACTGAATTAAAAACATTACTGAATGCTGTGAATGGTCAAGTTACGTTTTGCAGAAGTGTGGCCCTGTTTTTCTTTAACGCATGTTTGCCTCTCTCAAATTTGTTTCAATCTTTTCTGCAGATTATCAGGCTCCTTGGTGACGGAGGAAGGCTGCTCTTTTTTGGCTTCAGCTCTAAAATCAAACCCCTCACACCTGAAAGAACTGGACCTGTCCTACAATAACCCAGGGGAGTCAGGAGTGAAGCTACTCTCTGCTAGATTGGAGGATTCACACTGCAGACTGGAAACACTGAGGTATGTGAGTCCATGTGTACACATATATGTAAGCAACAGTTACTGAAGAAGAAACAGTGTTTCTGCTGCCTTAACTGTTCTGTGACACACTGACTCTATGCAGGGCCTACAGTATAATGAAAAGCACTTGAAATGAATTACAAAATGTCCAAAAAAATAACTACATAATGTGGAGGCCAAAGTACCCAGAAAATTTTAAAGCATGTATGACCTAAAACACAAGAGCTCCACTAAAACAATAACAGGAGTAAACCTACTACTAGTAACAATGATAACAAGATTGTAGTATATTTGGTGTTTTGTTTTTAGGTTCACTGTAAATGGTATGTGCTAGTTTGGATACTGCTATGATACCAAAACATGTTACTAAAATATAATGCTAAACATTAAAAACTTACATTAAAATGCAAAAAAAAAAAACTTGGAGAGACTTGGAGAGCCATGTTAAAATTTGTACCTTTTTGTTTAGGGTGGAGCACGGAGGGAAGATCAGGATCAAACCAGGCCTAAGAAAATGTAAGATCACCTTCTTTAATGTTAACACACACATACTCTTAATATGGGTGTAAACCTCAGAATGAATACATTTTATTAAGATTATGGAGGAAAATATTCAATGCATCATAACATCTTAAATTTCATCATGATTCAATTCTACTTGAATATACTGAATATGCTTAGTGTATCATCTATTTACAGAGAATTGGAATAATATAGGCAATAACAAATAATACAGCTTTTTAAAGTTTTAGGTGTGAAAACAGCCCAATAGCCTTCTTTTGAACAAAAGTGAACACTAGAGCTGTACCGCATGGACAAAACACTATTATTGTGATTATAGTGGTACATAGAGTGATTGCAATCAGCAATAAGTATGTTAAAATGTGTTGAATCACTAATGTGGCATCTGGCTTCCATTGTTTTGACCAAAATAATCTACTTTTTCAGATTACATGAACACCTCAATTCATCCAAATACTCACAGAAATCACCTATACTGTAATCATGATGCTCTCAGTGTACAGTAAAAAAACACTATAAAACAGTGCTGAGAAAATCACTGGTTATTCTTCTGAAGCTATGTGACAATGGTTACACAACCCAGGTTTACATATTGCTGCCTTCTGTGATATTAGACTTTTAACCTTAATGATTAATGATTTCTGTGAACTAAAAAACGCATGTCTTTTATTATTAGTTTTTTTTATTTAATATGATCATCGTGCTTCTTGTATTCAAACATTGCAAGCAAGTTTTGCTTGGAGAGAAAAGGATTAAATTCTTAAAACGCCCAAAATTCAGAATTTATTTTTCTCCATGGTATCTAGGTAGATACAACCAAGCTAGCTCTGCTATTGGTTAGGTAAAATATATATTAATGTTTATAAGAAGCTTCCAATAAAACATAGATATTTTATGAGCTTTAGATATCTGTGGGTAATCAAAAAAAGTAAAAAATAATATTGTGAATCGCTGTTAACGCTAACATACTATTCAAGTCCCATTAGAGTGCTAGCAGAAATTAGCATTACTGCATTGTAATATAGATTAATGTGCAGCTTTAGCACAACATTTACTGAATACTATTATAATTGTAACATTCCATAAGCAATGAGGTTTATGTCAATGATTTTTTACAACTCCATCTAATAATGCTGCAGATATCCTTTCCTCTAATCTTTCTTCTTTGCGTGCAGATGCCTGTGAACTTACACTGGACCCAAACACGGTACACACAGATCTTGCTCTGTCCGAGGGGAACAAAAAAGTGAAGTCTGTGAGAGAGCCGCTGGTGTATCCTGATCATCCAGAAAGATTTGATATCTGGTTGCAGGTGCTGTGTAGAGAGAGTGTGTCAGGACGCTCTTACTGGGAGGCTGAGTGGGGTGGGAGGGGGGCTGCTATAGCAGTGACTTATAAAGGAATCAGCAGGAAAGGAGGCGGTGATGACTGTCGGTTTGGATATAATGATAAATCCTGGAGGCTGTACTGCACCAATTCAGCTGGGACAAACAGTTACTCTGTGTGGCACAATAAGAAAATCACTGACATACCTGCCCCCACTCCTAGCTCCAACAAAGTAGGAGTATATTTGGACTGGGCAGCCGGCATTCTGTCTTTCTACAATGTCTCCTCAGACACAGACACACTGACCCACCTTCACACATATCACTCTAAATTCACTGAGCCCCTCTATGCTGGATTTTGGATTGGTTTTGACTCTTCAGTATGTGTTTTAGATCAAATAGCTTGCTGAGTCTGTAGGTAAACCAACACTGCTCTACTCATACCAATACAGTTCTTGGCAAAAAAAACCACCACTGCAAGTGTTTGTCCTCTGCTACTTAGATCACTCACTGTTGGGCATCCAACCAAAATGCATGATTATGTCTTTTTATCAGTTTGGGACTACAGATTACACAGAGACATTTTGGCTATGTTCACACAACACTGCTGAGTCAAGGAAAACTCTGAAAGCAAAATGTAAAGAATCTGAGGACGCGAACCAAAGAGGTGACTGTGGCTGAATAACATGGCAATTTGCAGCGAGCTTGAACACATTCTGTGTGATGAGCCCAGCTGTCAGCCATCGAAACTTTGTGATCGCATCTGTGATGTTGGCAAAGATGAAACTGAAAGCTCCGGAAGCAACTGGTGTTCGTTCATAGTCATGATTGTTTACCTCTGGATGAGCCACATGAAGCAACATGAAGCACTGTTTTTTTGTGCATGCACGTCAGTTTGGGAGCGTGATCTGTGCAGACTAATGTAGCATAGAAAAGGTAATGTGAACAGCCAAACAAAAAAAAATCTGATTTGGTGAAAAAATCTGATTTGGGCCACTTTTAGCTGCTGTGTGAATGTAGCCTTTCTCCCCTCTGCAACCCCTTTATATTAGTTTCTGGCAATACTCCTTTTTGTTGTTATTTTTGCCCACAGTGTCACCAAACCGGTGCAAACTGGCTAGCAAGTGCTTTCTCCACAACATATGAAGCACCATCACATCTTTACAAACTGCTACTTATGGACCCTTATTGAATAACTCCCAATTCTGTTAGTTCTGTAACTGCTAATTCTGTTGCCTAGCATCAAGCTGTGTGATGGGGTTAAGGGTGGACTATCCTACCCACCCAGAGAGAGGGGACAGTTATGCTGTCCTGGACAAAGATGCCTGAGGCATAGCCAATGATTGAGCCCCCTTCATTGTACAGTAATGTTTGTAAAACTTGCTGATAATAGTTGAAGAAGTGCCATGAATATTTTTTTAATCAGCTGGAAGGCCAGAACTTGCACGTAACTGCTTGTACATTTGATGGATTTATTTATTTTTCTGTTTATTTATTTATTTATTTATTTATTACATGTATTTTTTGTTGCTTTGTTACTCCTTTTTGTTACTCTTTTTGCTTTTTGTTGCTTATATGTTACTCTGTTGTTTTAAATGCAAAGTTATTGCTATGACGTTTTATTAGTATTATTGCAATTAATAACATTGGGCCTCATTGATCAACCGTTCTTAAGAAAAAAATTCTTCTTAAACTCTACTTATACGGTTTTCATGAAGGTTCTGACATTCACCAGTGTTTTCTCATTTAGGATTTGTTTTTTGATGAGAATCTACACACACTCAACAGGACAACAGTGCAGAAAACAACAGCACAACGGTACGAAAAATTCTGATGTTTAGGAACGTCATGAATCTGTCATAGACTTCGTCTTAGGACCTTTCTCAAGAACAAGTTTAGGAAAAAAAAATTAGGAAGCTATTGGTGAATGAGGCCCATTGTTTTTATAGGTACTGTTATCTTGTAATAGCTTTGGCAGTACTGCATTAAAAGCAGTCATGTGACTAAAGTGTTTTGAACTGAAATGCCACAGGGTAATTAAATAGTGTCATGTTCAGTTAAAGGACGGTTGTGCTATATCTGATTTCTGTACACGTCACATAACACTGTTAAAAAGTAAAACACATTTATGATATTTATGTTTTTCTTTATATACATCTATTAGTTGTATGCTAGTTTTCTGGGCATCTTCATATACAGTGTGGAAACATATCCTTGAAATGTTTTTGCACCGTTTCTATAACAGTCCGGGAACTAGTCAGATGCTTGTGGATCAAAGTGAAAGTGCAAGCTTTAATAACAGTAGGGTAAGCCAAAGATATAATCCAGAAACAGGCCAAGGTCAAAACTGAGATATACCATTTACAAAGGGGCATGGAAAAAGAGTAGTAAAAAACAAGTCAGGGTCAAAAGCCAAAACAGAGTTCAAAAACAGCAAACAGTACCCCAAAGGGAAATCCAAAGACAAGATCGAAAAAGCAAGGCAGGTAGATACACCGACAAAACAGACAGGTAACGTTGGTATGCTCTGTAAACAGAGACAATACTTTGCAAAGACAAAGTGTGACAGGCATTTGTAGAAAGACATGAAATGAGGAAGAGGTGTGAACAGTTAGTTCTCGGGTGATGCAGAGCAGATTGTGATTGGTGGAAGTAGTAGATGTGGGCATCATTTGATCTCCTGTGGGATCATGGTAGTTCATTGACTCAACAGAACGGGCCAGTGAGATGGACTGCAGACTACTACAGGACATGTTGATGGGAAGCGTGACAGTTTCTTTAGTACCGAGTATGTAAAAGTGCATATAAAGTGCCAATTAGACCAGCTCATTTATGACAAAGTGATGATGCTGATACTCTTTTACTGCTCTTTCTAACTAGAGAGGCTATGAACTCTGTTTCACCCTTTAAATTCAGTGAACAGTGATATCACTGACATTCCAAAACCACATCTCCCATCCAGCGCACTGTAAAAATGAGGTGTAAAGGTGCAACACCATTTGATACAAGTATATTTGCCAAAGAGGGAGTTCTAAATAAATGTCATTTGAGTAAATGGTTTTCATGTACAGTCAGAAGAGAATAGGACAAAAGAAACTTTCCTATCTGCATGTATTTTTTATATGTGAGATGCATTTCAAATATATTGTTTCATTCTAAAATGTATTAGAAACTAAAATAAAATGTTGTCCATTTTTATACATTTTCAAATTTGATTAATACATTTTACATGTTTTTCCTTTCCACATTACAATGATGTGACACAAAGCTCTCAATGTAGCTTTCCCAAAATTGGTGCTATTAAACACCATCATATATACATTGTGATTATTAATTTTTGCGATGTCTGCCATCAAACATTTTGGTCAATTTTGAAAGTAACCCAAAACAGCCCAACAGCCCATTTTGACGGGAAGATCACGAACCTGGCAACCCTGGTTGTATGGTGACCTGCAGATCACTTCGTGTTGATCCTTCTGAAAAAACAAACTCTCTATTATGTTTTCACCTTGCTTGACCTCTTTACTGAACAACAGTGTGTGAGAATTTGCATTTTACAAATGAAATGCTGCATTTGTTTCAGAATTGAATGCAGTCCACCTTGAAATGTAATAAAGGTATGACTATATTACTTTCCATTATGCAGTATTTAAAACAACATTAAATCAATGTAATGAATCTTTTCATTTTGGCATGTTTTCTGCAGAAAATGCATGTTACTGTTTAAACACAATTTCATGTGCACATTCTATTTCACTGTTTTGGTTGCATTTCAAAGAGGCAAAAACATTTAAAGTGCAAAAAAGAGGTCAAGTGATGTGAAAAACAGTGCTACCGAATAAAAAGCTGTTTGGGAGTCGAAAGAGGCTTTTATTTGTGACCTGAGCCAAATGATCTGATCTGATCACTGAAAAGAGCCAGAATGCCCATCATTAAATTAAATCTCCATTTTCGTTTTTCAGTTTTTTACATAATTTGAAAAGGCCTGTTGTCCTTTACATTGTGTGTAAACTTCATGAAGAATGGAGCAAAAGAAATGGCCCAAAATGACTTGGAAAAAATTCTGGTTCCTTTGACTTACATTAAAAGTAAAGTAGGTTTTTTTCTTCTCCTGTAAAGTTCTCATTTTGGAGATACAAGGTTTTCTTCTGACAACAGCGATATGCTCTATTAATGCCCACCGTTTATGCTTGTGCAAACTGTTATTTTTGAGGGTTTGTTTTTGTTTTTAAAGTTAAATACTGACATAGATTTGACTTTAAGTAATGAATAATGTGCATTAATGAAGAAATCATTTCAAAGTTGTTCTTCATAGATATTTTGAATGTTGATAATTAGAGAAGGTTTATTTCCAAAGTGTGCTAAAATATTCTGAAAACAACTTTTAATATGTTATCATTAAATTATCACACAAAAGCAAACCAAAGTTTGTTTTGTTTTATTTTTAGGTTTCATTTGCCTAATTAATGTTTTTATTGACTGAATATTTTCTGAGATATACAGTTCACAACAATTGTCATACTTTTGCTGAATTTCACATTATGATTTTTTTTCCCCAGTAAAGAATAATATCTGTTGTAAACTCATCAGGAGAAGATTGTGTCACTGCTGGAATCAGGATAAATGGGAGAATATGGCATCTAGAAGAAGCTCAGCTCAGCAAACTGGAACTCAGTTGTCAGTAACAGAATGTGTTGTATATGGTTCTATGTAGAACTTTTTTGAAAAACTTTTTCTACATAGCACCAAAAAGTGTTACCAAAAATTGTTACATGCTTGACATCATAACAATAGAATAACCCTTTCTGGTGGTATAAAGAACCATTTTCATCAACCGTATTCAACACATTCTCCATCAATCTGAAACATTTCACGACACAAAGAACCCTTTAAGCATACTAATCATTCTTTGAGTGTTCATGGTTCTATATAGAATCATAGTCTTTACTAAAGGACCCTTGAAGAACCATCTGTTTTAAGAGTGGATGTTAGAATAAGTGGATCTTATCTCTTTAGTGAGATTTGATTGTTGCATGATTTATTATGCCTATATGCTTATATATGATTATTTCCATGATGACTGCATGTTGAACTCAGTTGATTTTGCACTGTCAATTTTATTTTGCCTCCAGGTGATCATACAAACAGTGTTTCTCCAAAATTTTCTGTCTTCTTTTTGGGTCTTTAAGCTTCTAAATGGCTTGTTCATAATTCCTCTTATTGTCTCCGCCCATCTTTTTGCTGCTCATCCTCTTCCTCATTTACCTCCAACTATTCCAAGCATAATGGTCTTTCCAGTGAATTGGTTCTTCTCAAAAATGACTAAAAAATGAGAGCTTTAGTTTGATTGACTGGGCCAACACCAAAGTTCAAAGGTATAATTATTTTTCCTGACTTTTTTATTTTCCACCTTTCACATCCATAACGAACCACAGAAAAGACCACAGACTGGACAGCTCTTATTTATATTGAGCTGAAGTCTCATGCTTTTAAGGCAAGACAAGCCAGGTTTGTTTACATAGCAACTTTCATACACTGCTGTCATTCAAAGTGCTTTACAAATGAGAAAATACAGAGTCAGAGTTGTTAAAACACTTATAGAATAGATTAGATTAGAAATTAAAACATAATCGTGATTGAAACATGATTAAAACAATAGATTTAAAAGAGAAAATCATGACATTAAAAATTTAATTAGGATAGATTAAAAAATCGAATTAAAAATTAAAAGTTAGATTTGGAGAAAAAAAAGTGCCATTACAGAGAAAAAGGAGCTAGAAATGCTTTCACTCTGTTCTTAACTTTCCTTATAAAAGCCTTCCTGATTTTCCACTTTAAGTGTCATGGATTTCGCATGTGGAAAGTTATTGATGTTTCTTTCACCAATCTTGAATCCTCAATCGTCTTCCTCCAGTCCTGCTTCTCTTGTAAAATGTTCAACATACAGGTTAAACAATTGTGGTGATAGGAGGCAGCCTTGTCTAATTCCTTTGCCAGTGTGGAACCAGTCTTTTTCACATATGAGTTTTGCTTGTTTAACAGTGTAGTGATTCCTCATTAGAACACTAAGATGCTGTGGTGCACCATTTCTCTAAGAACATTCCATAATTTTACATACTCAACACAGTTGAGGGGTTTGCTGTAGTCATTTAAACACATGTTGACTTCTTTCTTGAATTCTTCGACTTTGTAAACTATCCAGCATACACGAGTAATTATATGTCTTTTTCCTCTGCCTTTCCTGAGTCTTGCTTGCACTCTGGCAGTTCTCTTTCCATGTAAGGCTCTAGTCTGCTTTGAATGATCTTGAGCTTAATGTTATTATGAATCACAAACAACTCTTGCATTAACATAGGTTTGCACTACTGTGACTGTGAGTCAGTATAGCACAGTGAGGTCTGATCCACTAGCTCACATATTCTGTAGGTTAGAGATAGTGGAAAAGATGGTGCCATCTTTTCTTCCCTCTCCCTTTTCTGACCCATTTAAACACAGTATACACAAAAATGCAAAATAATGTCTTTTTTGAGATCTTGACATGAGTGACTGCTCTCTTGCTATAAATACTTTTGAAACTTTTCACAATTTTGAAACCAGATTATTAATTGCTAAGGACCTGCTTAACTGCAGAAACATGGCTGGTTTAACAGAGCTGACTTTAGCTGGCAAAACATTGAATGCTAATAGAATTTTACATCTTAGTTCACAATATTTTTGTTAATGCCAGTAGCATCTCAATACTTACTATTGACTCATCAGAATCAACATTCATGGGAGTTTTCAATCACAATCTGTCTATTTTACCTGAAATTTGCCTGTCTGTGATCACAGGGTGAAAAAGAAGGACGGACAAAAATGAACACCTAGGGGCAATTTAGTGTGTCCTATTGGCCTGACAACATGTCTTTGGACTGTGGGTGGAAACCAGAGTAGATATTGTGAACAGCCAAACAAAAAAATCGGATTTGGTGAGAAAATCTGATTTGGGCCACCTGCTGTGTAAACGTGGCTTTTGTGACAGGGGCAGATCTAGCAGGACTGACTTGTAGCAGAGGAGGCATCCTATGACAGTGCCATGTTTAAAGTCACTGACCCCCTGTTCTACTGCCAGTGTTTGTCTATCAAGACTGCAAGACTATGTGCTTAATTTGATCCACTATAACTATATATATATATATATATATATATATATATATATATATATATATATATATATTATATATATATATATATATATATATATATATATGTGTGTGTGTGTGTATAGTATAACTATATATAATTGTATAAATGTATAATTATAATAATTACATACTACGTATTACTAATAAATAAAGAAATAAAAAATAGATTTTAGCAATTTAAAAAGTACATATACGCTATAAAAAGAAAATGACCCTTTAAGAGAAATTGTTTTGGGATGTCTTTTGTTTCTAGATATCTTTTGTTTATATCATTTAAATTGATTCATTTTTTCTTCCATTCCATTGATTCCATTCCAAAGATATTAAAGCTGTTTAACAGAAACTGATGAGATGTAGAAGCCCTGTTATCAAGTACAAGAGATAACCAACTCCTTACCAGAAGATGGTGGTAATGCACCAAACCATTGTTTGCCAACCACCACAAAACCCATAAAGAAGAAGCTCAGAAGTCCGTGCTCAGTGTTGTTGCAGGGAGAGCAGAGCTTTAGAAAGCAGACAGCTGTTCAACACTTATTGTTTGAATTGTGTTGTTCATTGACTCTTGTGGAAATAGCTGGAGAGATGTCTGCTGTTTGAGAAGAGGGACACAAAATATGTAAACTGTCCAACACAGAAGCAGCCTGCATCCTGACCTGGCTGAGTAGGTCAATGTTAACTCTCAGCTCTTGTGCTTGTGTTTTTATTGTTTTCAAATATAGATCTTTGGCAAATATAGATCATTTTCTGATGTTTTATGTAGGTTTGGGAAGATAAATATCCACAAAACAGTCAAAGGATTATTTTATTTAAAAAGAAATGTATTTTAACTGTTAAAGCTCCTAGAAGAGATTTTTTAAGCTCTTATTTAGCTTTTAAGCAAACTGTGCCAAGTTTATCCTGTCTGCTTTTTTCTGTTTTTTTGGTTGCTAACATTATAGAACTATTCATTATAGTGTTACACTGTACAGAGGAAACCTGTGGAATATCTGCATAACTTTCTCTGCCCTGTTATCATAGAATAGAATATAATTCAGAACCATTAGCCAACTGTGTTTGCACACAGAGGAATTAGACCTCTGCATTTAACCCATCCGTGCAGTGAAACACCCACATACATGCACACGAGTGAACACGCACACTAGGGGGCAATGAGCACACTTACCCAAAGAGGTGGGCAGCCCTATCCACAGCACCTGGGGAGCAGTTGGGGGTTAGGTGCCTTGCTCAAGGGCACTTCAGTCACGCTCTGTTGGCTGAGGGGATCGAACCGGTGACCTTCCAGTTAGCATGAAAGTTGTATCCTTGGTCTGCACTGAAAACAATGATATCTTGGCAAATGAACTCACTTTAAATTGACTTACAATGTAATATTTCTCTGAAAGATTGTTGTAAGAATACATTTACAAAAAGTTACAAAAGTGCTTTGTTGTCCACCCAAAAACAAGAAACAAGAGGCAGGGCTACACCTAGAAAGCAAAGTAGAAAATACAGAATTAAAATACATCACTATAAAATGCAATACAAGCCTTTTCTAAGTGCTAGATTAGCCTTTATGTAAATTCTTCATAAACAGACGGTTCTTCAGTTGAGGTTTGCAGACAGTGAAAGACACTTTGGTGTTCTGACATCCAGTAAAATTTCATTCCACCACCTGGGCTCCAGGACAGAGAGTGTCATGTGTCTTGAGTCTTTGGGTCAAGCTGAACCTTCCCCGAGGGCACAAGGCATAGATTGAGCCTTGGGAGGAGCCAGGTTGGGAGGAGTGTGTTTATTTATGACTTTGCAGGCAAGCATCAGGGTTTTTAATCTGATATGGGTAGCTATGGGAAGTGAGAGGAACACAGCAGGCCTTGAGATGACAACAGAACAACTGAAAAGGCACCTGGCTTTCTAGAGAGAAAGGGTGGAATCCTCTGGATTTTGTACATGAGACCTGCATGATTGAGTCAGATTTGCTGGAATAATAACTGGTCAACCAGAATCATAGCAAGGCTTCTTGCTTCTTCAGACAGAATCACCAAAGAGTTCTCTAAAGAGATGGCAAGATCATGGTGAGGACCTGTAGTCCTGTAGTTCCAAGGAGGAATAGCAGCTCAGTCTTGTTGGGACTTTAGCTTCAGGTGGTGAGCTGCCGTCTATGAAGAGATGTCAGTCAGACATGCCAAGATGTGGAAGCATGAGTGTCAAAAATTGGGAGGAAATGATGAGTGAAAATAAGGAGTAACTTGTATCCTCGCCAAAATTCCTGACCAATCAAAGTGTATAATTTGGTGCACTTTAACTGTTACAGTGTAAAAACAATTGAACTAAGTGAAAAAGATAAATTATCACAAAAACCCAAATTCAGTTTTGGACTTCAGCAAACAAACTAGGCATGAAAACAGCCTTAATTCAAACTTCGCATGTACCAGTACAATTCAGTTCCTCTGTGAGAAGCAGTTGTGCCCAATAACAGAAACTGAAAAGTACTGAATTAGATGTGATTTTTTTTTCAAGGTTTTTTTTTATTTGTTCTGTAAGTACCTGAACATTATTTTGGCTGCATGATTTTTGCTTCTTTTTCTCTTCCAGAAAAGAATTATGTCCTGTGGCTAACTCATCAGGAGAAGACAGCAAATAAAATCAAATGGCGTCTAGAAGAAGGTCCAGTACTCGGCAAACAGTCTCTGATTCCATCCAGTCTAACCCCAAAACAACTCTCCACTGTTCTGAGTGTGGAAAGAGTTTTAGTCGACTGAGTCGTCTTCAGCTACACCAGCGCATTCACACAGGAGAGAGGCCGTATTCCTGCTCAGAGTGCGGGAAGAGTTTTATCCAGCAGAGCGTTCTCCGACGACACCAGCGCATTCACACAGGAGAGAAACCGCATTGCTGTTCAGAGTGCGGGAAGAGTTTTATTCAAAGGGATCATCTCCAGCGACACCAGCGCATTCACACGGGAGAGAAACCGTATTCTTGCTTGGAGTGCGGGGCGAGTTTTTCTCTGCCGAGTAGCCTCTTGGTACATCAGCACATTCACACAGGAGTGAAACCGTATTATTGTTCACACTGTGGAAAGAGTTTCAGTGACAGTAGTAGTCTCCAGAAACACCAGCGTGTTCACACAGGAGAGAAGCCGTATCAGTGCTCAGAGTGTGGAAGGAGGTTTACTGAGAGAGGTACCCTTAGAAAACACGAGCGGATTCACACAGGAGAGAAGCCATATCAGTGTTCAGACTGCGGGAGAAGTTTTAGACAGAGCGGTAACCTCAAAAAACACCAAACAATTCACACAGGAGAGAAGCTGAATACATTCTGAGTGCTGGAAGCGCCGGGGCAGGTGTGGAGACTGAGAGTTTTTCTTTTATTATACGTAACATAAAATCACTCGGCTTTTCAGCCCACATACAAACTGAAACAACACGCACGCAAGGACTGTTCTGTCTTGTCTTGTCTTGCCATCAGCTCAGCTCTGCCCTCGTGTCTCCGATGGCCTCCTTCTCTCTGGGATCTGCCACCTACTGAGGAAAGAGATGGCTATAAGTAGGCTGGCAGAAACAAGGCACAGGTGAATGTCATCAGCTACTTAGCCCGCTGGTTCAGCCCGACCGGCTCTCCGTCCTCCACAGTTGCCTATATCCTACATCAGTGTTTCTCAGCCCTGGTCCTGGAGGCCCACTGCCCTGCACCTTTAGTGTGTGCCCTGCTCCCAACACACCTGATCCAACTAATCAGCTCATTAACAGCCCCATTATTGAGTTAAAATGGCTCTGGTAAAGCAGGAAAAGCACAAAAATGTGCAGGGCAGTGGGCCTCCAGGACCTGGGCTGAGAAACACTGTCCTACATGACTGTTTTTCAGCCTTTTATCCTTTTGAAGTAAACAGGCTGTTTTTGCAGCGCGAAACTGCTGTAGAGTGAGTCGGCAGATTAGTGTAAATCAAGGGCTGTTGCTGCATTTTAGTTTTTTATAAATGAACTACATGGACTTTTGTTTACACACTACTTCAAACGCTTTCATTTTACATGAAGTAGGAAAATTTAAGTTTCCATTACCTGAGCCGTTTAAAGGGTTTGGTTGAATTCACTGATGTACACTGTACTTCTCTCTAGTGAAGGCAGTTGTGAGTACTGTTGGAAAAGAGGGCCTGATTTTATCATCCATAAATGGCTGCATGTTACTTAACATCTTGTGTCCTTTATGATTAAAGCATGCAGTAGAATGAAATGCTGTCCTACAGTCTAAAAAAGGACTTTCTGAAACTCAGTTCTATATACACTAACAAGAAACAATAACATTGATCACCTGCTAATCTGCTGCTTTGGTTCCAAATGTTTAAGAAAAGGGATTTTTTTCCCCAAGGCTTTGTCAAATATCCTAAGGTGCCACTGTTAAGAGACAGCAGAGGCTTCAAGCAACAATGGTGGTAGGAACAGCTACTGCGGGTAAAAAAAAAGAAAAAAAAAAGTGCATGCATGGATTTGAATTGCTGCTGTAGCCTGCTATTCTACTATGGCAGAAACATTAGTTTGCCACAGCAACTAAACCTTTAATGAATTACTTAAAGAATAATTCCTAATTTAGATGAGATTTTCATTTTTTTGACTGTACACTATATGGCCAAAATCATATTTCGCAATAATGACACTTACACTTGACCAGGGCAGATCTAGCAGGGCAGAAATTTCATACACTGACCTGTGGCATCCTATGACAGTGTCACATTTAAGGTCCCTGAGCTTTTCGGTATGACCCATTCTACTGTCAGTGTCTAAGAAGATAGCATGGGTTTTCTTTTTGTTTGATGTTATACACCGGTCAGCAATGGATGTGTCTGAAACACCGAAACTCAATAATTAGGAGGGGTGTCCACACACTTGTGGCCATATAGTGTATATCATCAGGTAAGCAAAGACAGTGAAACACTGTTCCACCATTGTGGTACAGTTGTTGCTTAGTGACTTTAGTTTCCACAGCATAAAAAATATGTTAATTGAAAACTTATTTTCAAACTTCAGGTATAAAATCCTTATTAAAATTATCCTATTATTCTGACCGGGGCCCATTTTTGTAACACAGACAGTATGTACACTTTTTGAGTAGGATTACATGAAATAAAATTTTAAAAATCGAATGTTTTCCTATTAGTAAAATGTCCTTTTTTGGAAACCATCATTAAAAAGTATGTAATTTAATCCTTTTTTTTCATTTATAGACTCTTAATCTTGAAATCTGAATTTGACATGTCCTCACTGTTTGTACAAAAAACACTAATTCACCTCAAAATTTCAAATAAAAGTTCTGTTTATTTGATTAGTCCATCAATCAAGAACATTATTCAGCATTCATTTAAGGACCATTTTACTCCATTTCCATCATTTTTTAACAAGATGACCCTGTGACAGGGACAAACTGTCTCTCTATATGATCTGTTGGTTTTTTCATATATCATGTTAACAAGAACACAAATTAATAGCTTTAAGCTTTGGAAACACATTTTGGCACTTTTGTGCCTTATGCTTCTCATCAAATGTTGACCCAAATGGCACCCATTTGGTAGAATGACTCAACAGTGATTCAGCATCAGCACAGCAGTGGCACACCTTAGCAACACTATGCATTATCATCATATATAATGAATAATACACAAAAAACATAATTATTCAAAAATGCTACTGTGAAAAATCTGCTGTAATATGAACACAGTGCTGTAAAGGGACAGTACATACTAAATATGAAGCAAGCAATACTTGCCAACAGTTACATGGACAACAAAACCCAGTGACTGAGAAGATAAATGTCCCACAGCCTGACCACTTAAACTAGAAGACATACACAGACCAGGCATAACATTCTGACCACCTCCTTGTTTCTACACTCATTGTCCATTTTATCAGCTCCACTTACTATATAGGTGCACTTTGTAGTTCTACAGTTACAGACTGTAGTCCATCTGTTTCTCTGCATACTTTGTTAGCCCTCTTTTACCCTGTTCTTCAGTGGTCAGGACCCCTATGGACCCTCACAGAGAAGGTACTGTTTGGGTGGTGGATCATTCTCAGCACTGCAGTAACACTGACGTGGTGGTGGTGTGTTAGTGTGTGTTGCGCTGGTCTTAGTGGATCAGACACAGCAGTGCTGCTGGAGTTTTTAAACACCTCAGTGTCACTGCTGGACTGAGAATAGTCCACCAACCAAAAATATCCAGCCAACAGCGTCCTGTGGGCAGCGTCCTGTGACCACTGATGAAGGACTAGAGGACGACCAACACAAACTGTGCAGCAGCAGATGAGCTATCGTCTCTGACTTTACATCAACAAGGTGGACTGACAAGGTAGGAGTGTCTAATAGAGTGGACAGTGAGTGGACACACTCCTGGCCATTGAAGAAGAGGGTAACAAAGTATGCAGAGAAACAGATGGACTACAGTCTGTGATTGTAGAACTACAAAGTGCACCTATATAGTAAGTGGAAGTGATAAAATGGACAATGACCGTTTAAAAACTCCAGCAGCACTGCTGTGTCTGATCCACTCGTACCAGCACAACACACACTAACACACCACCACCACGTCAGTGTTACTGCAATGCTGAGAATGATCCATCACCCAAATAGTACCTGCTCTGTGAGGGTCCATGGGGGTCCTGACCACTGAAGAACAGGGTAAAAGGAGGCTAACAAAGTATGCAGAGAAACAGATGGACTACAGTCTGTAACTGTAGAACTACAAAGTGCACCTATATAGTAAGTGGAGCTGATAAAATGGACAATGAGGGTAGAAACAAGGAGGTGGTCATAATGTTATGCCTGATCAGTGTGTTTCATGCCAGCCGATTCCAGCATGTAGTAAATTCTCTGACTCTTCTAACATAACAAACACAAATAAATAAATAAATAAATAAATAAATAAAAATCTTGATTTATATAGCACCTTTCATACATTAAGAGTGCAACTCGTAGCTCTTGTCCTTGAAGCTAACTGTTGCTTAAAAGATAACTGATGATTAAGGTTGTGTTCACTTCAAAAATCAACACAATTTGAAATTTGTAATTTTTGGGTGACCAAATGACATATACAGTCAAAAAAATGTTTGATTTGCATTATTATATCTTAAATGTATTTATAATTGGCCATATCTATATTTAAGTGTGTAGCCTAAACATATAATTTGCAGTAATTACTGTTAGGAGGCAATAAAATAATAATCTTGAAAGATAATTTACAGAGAAGGTCAAACAGTGTGGACATGTGTTAGTACCTTAAGAAAGCACAGCTATTTGATCTGTTGAATCTGCTGAGAGAGGTGGTGGAGAGCAGTCCAGCTTTAGGCTGTGAGAGACATGCCGACCCACACTCTATACCAGAAGGTGGCGGTGAAGCACCGAATCATTGTTTCCCAACTGCCATTAAACCCAAGAAGAAGGAGAAGAGCATCAGCAGTCCCTGCTCACTGTTGTTGGAGGCAGAGAAACAGGAGCAGAGCTGTAGAAAGTAGTGCGCTATTCAATACTTATTAACATTGTTGCATTGTTTTTCATTGATCCTTGCAGAAGTGCCTGGAGAGATGTTGGCTTTTTGTGGGATGCAATATATGTAATCCAAACCAACACAGGAGCAGCCTTCATCCAGACCTGGCTGAGTAGGTTAATGTAACTCTCAGCTCTTGTGTTTGTGTGTTTAGTTATGAAAATGTTTTCCTAGCTGGGTTTGACAGATGTAGAGCATTTTGTGATGTTTTATTTAACATTTGAATATTTGCATGGCAAACACTCATAAACCTGTTGAATGTTTTATTGTTTTGATAGTTAGTGTTCTTAGTAAAGATTTAAAGATACAAAATAATGTGTTATCTACAGAGCCCCGCTGGTGGCCCTGCTGTATAAATAAAAATAATGCGTGGCCACGACTTAGTAAGCTTCATTGTCATGTTACAGTAAAATGTAACATAAAGCAAATCATGAGAATATGAAAACATTGCAAAAAGATACCATGCCATATATGCACAAATATATGTGCAAAAACTTGGGAAATTATACAAATATAATGTGAGGCATATATAAAATGTGCAGTTGTGCTGTGGGAAAATAGCAGCTGATTTGAAGTACTTCATGTTCCTGGTGGAGATCTGTAGTCAATGGCTACTAGATTAAGTGAGTGTGTTTACATGCACTCAGTAATCCGATCGTAATCGTATTTCTGCAGTTATCCGATTATTCAAATGGTAATGTAAACACCATACTCCGATCTAGAAATCCGAATAAGAAATCCGATAAAGAGAGCTGGACTTAGTAATCAGATTTCTCAGCGCAGCAAAATACTTTTGGAGTGACGCTGAAACCAAACACAAAATAAAGGATTGAGATATTCTTCTTTTTGTAGATGATGTATGTTCATATTTTAAGGTAAAGTGACGCGATGTTTCAAAAAAAGACGCAGGATGAAGTTCGAGTTTTACATTATGTCACGTCTTTTGTGAGTTCATTGGCTGGTTGCAAAGCAAAAATCCGATACTGCCTGACTCATGTAGACCCGGAGGTTTACATCATCTGATTAGTCAAGAGCATGTAAACATGTTGATCGGATTACTGGCAAAATCTGATTTTCTGCAGTTACTGGATAATTAAGTACATGTAACTGCACAGAATAAGAGGTTGTAATAGTAGTTGTTTATGGTGGGGAGTGAGAACCATTCAGGAACCTTTTGGCCTGATGTTTTAAAAATATCCTGGACACCGTATCCTTAATCTGTCACTCGCTCTCCAGACAGCAAATAGACTGTGGTGGGGTCTGTAAAGTAGGGCATGAAATATTCGTCCAAACCTGATGGGACCTTCACAAAATTTCTTAAATTTGTTCTGAATTTATCTGAACATTGTCTTTTATGTATGGTTCCCAACAATTTTGTTGTACATTTGTTTCATTTCACAGTCTTTTTTTCCTTGTTCTTCTCCAGAAAAATATAGTATCGTGTTGCAAGTACATCAGGAGAAGACTATCACAATGCCAAAATCAGGAGAAATTAAATCAGAGGACACATCTACAACGAGCGCCTCTGACCCCGTCCCCACTAAAGCATCTCACAGCCAGACACAGACAAATACAGGCGAGAAAGGAGCTCAACATAATCAACATGATCTCCAGCTACACCAGCTCATTCACACAGGAGAGAAACCGTACTCCTGCTCAGAGTGCGGGAGGAGATTTACTCTACAGAGATACCTCCAAACACACCAGCGCATTCACACAGGAGAAAAACCGTATCACTGCACAGACTGTGGGAAGAGTTTCACTAGATTAAGTAGTCTAAGACTCCACCAGCATACTCACAAAACAGAGAAACCGTATTCCTGCTCGGACTGTGGGAAGAGTTTTATTCAGCAGAGTCAACTTCAACGACACAAGCGCGTTCACACAGGAGAGAAGCCGTATTGCTGTTCAGAGTGTGGGAAGAGGTTTAAAATACAGAGTACTCTCCAACTACACCAGCACATTCACACAGGAGCAAAGCCATATCAGTGCTCGGAGTGCGGGAAGAGGTTTAGAGACAGAGGTAACCTTAAGGCACACCAGCGCATCCACACAGGAGAGAAACCGTATTCCTGTTCGGAATGTGGGAAGAGGTTTAATCGACAGAGTAATCTACAAACGCACCAGCGCATCCACACTGGAGAAAAGCCGTATTCCTGCTCGGAGTGCGGGAAGAGCTTTAATCTACACAGCACTCTTTTAATACACCAGCGCATTCACACTGGAGAGAAGCCGTATTTCTGCTCAGAGTGTGGGAAGAATTTTAGCGGTAATCTCATAAGACACCAGCGCATTCACACTGGAGAGAAACCGTATCGGTGCCCAGAGTGTGGGATGCGTTTTAGAGACAGAAGTAACCTTAAAACACACCAGCACATTCACTCAAGAGAGAAAACGTATCAATGTTCAGAGTGTGGGAAGAGTTTTAGACAAAGAGCTAACCTTACGAGACACCAGCGCATTCACACAGGAGAGAAACCGTATCAGTGCTCAAAGTGTGGGAAGAGCTCCAGACAGTTGAGTAATTTGAAGACGCACAAGTGCTGCTAACCCGAAGGTGAACACCTGTGACACTTATCCATTTAAAAAAGGTTTTCATTATCAGTTCTTTTAACCTTAACTTCAGTAATGTATCCTGTATTTCTGTAATTCAGTAGTGAAGGCAGTTGTTAGTTTTGTTGAAAAACAGAGGCCCTGACTTTATCTCCTTTGTTTGAGTTGTATGTCTTGTATGTTGATAGAGTGATTGCATATAACACTATATGTATAATAATCATTTCAGTACTGACAGCATGTTAAACTTGTATCCTTTTTACATGTGACTTATGATTAAAGCGTGCTGTGGAATGCAATTTCTTTTGGATATCTGGGAAATCATTTCTGAAGCTCTTTCCTCTATATCAAGGGCTCCAATTACCCAGGGGCCACTAGCCAGGGGGTATTCCACAAAGCAGGATTTATCAGCCAGTGATGGACAAAGATGAGGACTGTTCAATGGGAGTGTCCCTCAGCTCTTTTCCTATTAGACAGGCTTGACTTTGGGCTTAAGTTATCTAGCTAAACTGAGAAATCCTGCTTTGTGGAATACTGCCCAGGTGGTCACCTCCAGGGGAGTGCTGGTTAAAAAAAGGGGGAAAAAATTATGGAATTTTATTCCAAGTATGACTTTTGACTTCATAACATACACTCATGTGAGTGTGTGTTAGTCAGTGTTTTTTAGCAATTGTTCTCTCACAACAAACCACAACTATTACTACTACTACTACTACTACTACTTCTAACAATAATGATAATAATAATAATAATAATAATAATAACATCAGAGCTCGTGGCGTGTCGGTAGAGAGCACAGAGAGGGGCTTGGAGTGAAGGGAGGACGAGGCCGGCGGAGGGCGGGAAGATACTGTGAAGAACTGGTTCAGGGGGTCTGGGGCGAAGAGTATGCTCTCCTGAAGACAGCAAAAGAAAGCAGCAAGTCTCCATGAAGCATGGGTGACCGGGGGATGGTCCACACCCATAGCCTTGTTGAAGACAAGAAAACATGTGGCATGCTGGGTGGAGTGGGCCGGCGTCGCTTCCCCACACACAGGTAAGCTGAGGAAACAGCTGAACTGCAGCAGCTGATGGGGCAATTAGGTGTTGTTGTTGTTTGTTAGTGAAGTAAGCTCGCAGTCAATTGGAGTTTTCAGTTCTTTAACTGAAAACGACAAGTTTTCAGTGGTGAAACAGACAGCTATGACTTTTGTTTATATTGTATAATGTAATCCTATTCGGTACTTATTCGAATTTTCTGTTGCACCTCAAGTGGTGCAGCAGCTGCATTCTGCCGCCTACAGGTGTGGAAAATTTGAAGAAACTTCAGCTTCCTGGCGGTTACTGCAATGAACAAGTACCTTTGTTGTCTGATATCTTCCACTGATTAAAAGTCCGACCCCATCAGAAAAAGTAAAAAAACAAAATCAATAAATAAAAAAAGGCTGCAGTCCTGAGTTGTTTACTTTGCCATGTTTACGCACTAACACGTACACACAGAATTTCCAATGTAGGATACAGTGATTAGGGACCATTTTGGTCGTAGCAATAGAAACCATTAAGAGTTTCTGCTGGTTCCTGGTGGTGTCCAATAGTCATTAATGGTATTTTGTGTTTTCCTGATGGGTTGATATCACAGTGTAAAGGATTCTAATGGTTTAACAGGAGTTCTGGGACTGATTCCAGATGCATTTGCTGGTTTCCTAATGGGATCTAAAGGTTTCCTACAGGAAACTAGTGGTCTCTAATGGCAACCATTAAGACAATTCCTTAAAAAGCACAAACCGCGTTTTAATACTAATGGTTCTACTGGTCTTTTTCCAGTAGGGCTTTCACAAGCTGGCTGCAAAAACCAGAGAGAAAAGGTAGAGTGCATAGTTTTCTGTTTCTCAATAATAATAATAATAATAATAATAATAATAATAATTGTTATTATTATTGTATTATTAAAAGATGACGAAGAAGTAGAATACATTTAATAATGAGTTAAAAATCATTATTATTGGTTTAATACAGAGTTTGAATAATATTACATTGTCACTGTAATAATGTAATAGGATATTAATTAGGATTTTGACCAAATCCTAATAAATGTCCTGTTAAATAACTACAGTAACAATGTAATAATATTTAACCTATTTGTTAAATGAATTATAATGTAGGGATTGTTACAAAATAGGAATCTGAAGGTATCCTGCAGGAATTACGCAGACATTAGAAATTCCTGCAGGATCCATATAATAATACTATAAAAATATACTAAATCATTTTTAAAGTGAATTCATTAATACATCTGAACAACTGAATTACATGTTAAAATATATTTTGAGCATTTAATCTTGTGTTTTCTCACTCCAACTACTCCAGAAGTCCATTAAAGATTTGACCACTGAAGAATTATCCAGAAGAGTTATGTTCAGCATTCAGTTTTCTGTTGATTCTCTGGTCCCATTGCGTTCTATTGTAGCCACGGTGCTTGTTAATGACTGTTCAACAAGCCAATCCGCGAACTGCAGGAAAGAGCTCCTGTCCAATCGGAGCGCAGGAGGCGGAGCTTGTCCGAATACGGGTGGGATTAGAAATAGCAGCCCGGTTGGTTGAGCCGCGCTCAAAGAAGCCCCTTTGACCAGCAGGTGGCGCTGTGCTTCTCCAGCGCCGGTGAGGTCAGCTCGCACAGATCGCCCATGTGACTCCACTGTGTTGTTGGAGGAAGAGAAAGAGGAGGAAGAGCAGCTGCTCTGCACTGAAGGTAAAGACGCTCTCCACTGTGTTTTCATTTTCAGTGTCAGAGAAACTCCAAACGTTCGAGGCAGCGAAGAAGCAGCACAGATACTCAGCTGGACAGAGCAGAGCAGGCTCATGTTGGCTCTTGTGCCTGTATGGACATCTCCTTCATGCTGTATTTAGTGTTTGTAGTAAGAACACTCAAAAACCTTACATCTTAACCACTTCATTATGTAGAAATGTTGAAAAATTGGTGGAGTACCCCTTTAATGTCTCTCTTCCGTGACTAATATGCCTGTGTGATGTGTGATTATATCCCTAATGGCTGCATATAAAATTTTGAGTCTTTAGTTTCTTATAATTGAAGCAAGTAACTTGTCAGTCATAATTCATTCTGAATCATCTGAAAAATGTCACGATACATTAAGACAGATCCTGATGTAGCATGCATTAGATAGGAGGTCTAAATGTATTATTGTATAATGACATTATTTTTGGACTAATAAAAAAGCCCACTGTCCATGGTAGTTTCAAATGAACTACTCATCACCATCGGAAATAAATGAATCAGTGTATATTCATTTTTTTAATTCATGTAAATTGCTGTAGATATCAGAGACATGGATTAATTTACAGTTTAAAGTTAAAAAATATAATAATATATTTTTCTCCATTTTAGTGTAAAACTTAATTTATTTATAGTTTGTAGTTTAAGGAAAACCAAGGGAAATTGAAACAGTGTTGCATGAATCACTCTGGAATAAAATATTACTCTCGCTAATATAAATGCATCGGTTCCTCTTACATTTGGACCTTTTCACTAAACACATTGACTTTGAAGTTGAAGCTGTGCTTGTTTATGTTTTTCTATGTAGTTGTGATTTTTATATTTTGATTTGATTTGATTATATATATATATATATATATATATACACTGATCAGGCATAACATTATGACCACCTCCTCGTTTCTACGCTCACTGTCCATTTTATCAGCTCCACTTACTATATAGGTGCACTTTGTAGTTCTACAATTACAATTACAATTACTTTTACGCTGTTCTTCAGTGGTCAGGACCCCCATTGACCCTCAAAGAGCAGGTACTATTTGGGTAGTGGGTCATTCTTAGCACTGCAGTAACACTGACGTGGTGGTGGTGTGTTAGTGTGTGTTGCGCTGGTACGAGTGGATCAGACACAGCAGTGCTGCTGGAGTTTTTAAACACTGTGTCCACTCACTGTCCACTCTATTGGACACTCCTACCTTGTCAGTCCATCTTGTAGATGTCAGAGACGATAGCTCATCTGCTGCTGCACAGTTTGTGTTGGTCATCCTCTAGTCCTTCATCAGTGGTCACAGGATGTTGCCCACAGGACGCTGTATATTTGGCTGGATATTTTTGGTTGGTGGACTATTCTCAGTCCAGCAGTGACACTGAGGTGTTTAAAAACTCCAGCAGCACTGCTGTGTCTGATCTACTCGCACCAGCACAACACACACTAACACACCACCACCACGTCAGTGTTACTGCAGTGCTGAGAATGATCCACCACCCAAATAGCCCCTGCTCTGTGAGGGTCCATGGGGGTCCTGACCACTGAAGAACAGGGTAAAAGGGGGCTAACAAAGTATGCAGAGAAACAGATGGACTACAGTCTGTAACTGTAGAACTACAAAGTGAACCTACATAGTAAGTGGAGCTGATAAAATGGACAATGAGCATAGAAATATATATGTATATGTATATATATTGTTTTCTTTTTTCTCCTCCAGAAATAAATTTACACTGGGAAATTTATCTCTGCATGCACATCAGAGAGGACAACACGACTGCTCAAGAATGGGAGGGATCTGAATATGAGAATATGACATCTAGAAGAAGCTCCAGAACTCGGCGAACGTTCTCTGTTTCTCACCTCAGGAACACGTTTCACAGACGAACACAGATAAATCAGAACAATAAAAGCCAAAAGAGAACTCACCACTGCTCAGACTGCGGGAGGAGTTTTGCTCGACAGGGTCATCTCCAAAGACACCAGCTCATCCACACGGGAGAGAAACCGCATTGCTGTTCAGAGTGCGGGAAGAGTTTTAATCAGCTCTGTAATCTCCAAACACACCAGCGCATCCACACAGGAGAGAAGCCGTATTCCTGCTCGGACTGCGGCAAGAGTTTTACTCAGCAGAACTTTCTCCAAAGACACCAGCTCATTCACACAGGAGAGAAACCGTATTGTTGCCCAGAGTGTGGGAAGAGGTTTAATCAACAGACGAATCTCCTAAACCACCAGCGTATTCACACAGGAGTGAAGCCGTATCCCTGTTCAGAGTGTGGGAAGAGTTTTACTCGGCAGAGTGAACTCCAACGTCACCAGCTCATTCACACAGGAGAGAAGCCCTACTGCTGCTCAGAGTGCGGGAAGGGTTTTACTCAGCAGAGCACTCTCCGAAATCACCAGCTCATTCACACCGGTGAGAAGCCGTATCGCTGCTCAGAGTGCGGGAAGAGTTTTACTCGACGGAGTTATCTCCAACTGCACCAGCACATTCACACAGGAGTTAAACCATATCACTGCACTGAGTGTGGGAAGAGTTTTACCCGACACGACTATCTCATAGGACACCAGCGCGTTCACACTGGTGAAAAGCCGCTTTACTGTTCAAAGTGAGGGAGGAAGTTCAGGTATTCAGTAGGGATGCACTGATCATGAATATCTTATGACCGATTCCAATTTCTTTACAACCAAATTGGATTTTTATGAGCCTTTTTTTAATCTGAAGCTCACACTGTGTGGGGTTAAATAAACTCATGCAACACCCAAGTACATTTCCAAGTGTCTGTTAATTAAAGTCACAATATAAACAACTTTTTAATGGGCCAAACTTGTCTATTAATGGTATTCAAACTATATCAGACATCTGTGCTGTTTCTAGCATAGTGTTGACTCTCCTGCAGTTTTTCATGGAAGTTACTAGAATCAGTCTGAATAAACTGTTGAAAAGCGGTTCCCTTTTTGAGGACTAGCGGTTTATTTCTCATGTTTCCGAGAGTTTAGATGTAACAGATTATTGTTATTATTTAATTTATTTGAAGAACCATAAAGCTGATCATGTTGGATAGATCAGAGAAAGAGTCCCTTAATGTTAAATGGGCAGCTCAACTGGCCGGTAGATGTTCATATTTTCTAATCTTAGGGGGCTTATATATTTCTGACTGAATGGATAAATGAGAAAGGTCCAAATAGTGGGAATATTAACCCACAAATACTTGTTGCAAAGTATGTAAAGTATGTAAAGTGGTTTAACTGAGTGGCCATTAAAGCGCTAAGAACTGTCACAGTCGTGGTATGAATTATTTGAACACACACACACAAACATACATTGACTCAAAGATGAGAACAGTAAAGCCAGCCTCACCATTTTCAACTGAATTGGGTTGATTGCTACCCAGCAATTATGCCCATGTGGGTCCATTGTGAAGCCAATGTGGTCAGCCACTGGTAGTCATTCGTGAAACCGGGGGCACATGCGGTCCCCCCAAGTTGAAAGCCCAACCTAAGTCTTGCTATGTGGGTTTAGTGTCAGTTTGCAGTATGGAGCCCTAACATGCAGCACCGTATGTGCTCATGTCCTGCAAACATGCCTCTGTGGGTCCAGTGTGGTGCAGTTGTGGGCTAAAAATTGGGCCCACTGCAGGCTGCCCATTGTGGAGCCTTGGTCAGTTGTGAAACGGGCCACGTGCAGGCCCCCATGTTAGGGCCTGTGTTGGCAGCCCACACCAGGCCTTTATATCAGGTGGACCCACATGGGCATGTTTGCTGGGGTGCAGTTGCAAAGGGGCACATTTTCTTTCTGAAAGGTTTGGAACTCGTTTGCCTCAGTAGTGTAAACTTGCAAGCAACATCATGCTATGTTCTTAGAAAGTTTTTGGAGTAGTTGTTTCTTCACTTAATTGTTGCTTACAGAATTAAATAAATGTGTAGCAGTTGAGTATCTGTTAATAAAGTGTTTATTACTTTAAGATGTTTACCACTTATTAAATTATCAAATCAAGTTTGTCACATCACATTAACAAAGGTGCGAAGGTGAGTGGAAATCTTAGGTGTGTGTAGCCCCCTTGTAGTACTTAAATACAAAAAAAATATATATATATATATATATAGCCACAAAGCAGTAGATCAGTCAAACTCATACTTGGGGCCCTCACTCTTAAAGCTGGCGAATACCAGGAGAACATAACCTGCCTGACTGCATTGTGCCAACTGTCAAGTTTAATGGAAAAGGGATGCTGGGGTTGTTTTCCAGGGGTTGGCCTTAAACCCTTAGTTCCAGTGAAGGGAAGTCTTAATGTTTCAGCAGACCAAGACATTTTGGACAATTCTATGCTTCTCACTAACTGTGGGAACAGTTTGGGGAAGAACCTTTTCCTGTTTCAGCATGACTGAGTCCCAGTGCACAAAGCAAGGTCCATAAAGGCCTGGCTGGGTGAGTTTGGTGTGTAAGAACTTAACTGGCCCCCACAGAGCCCTGACCTCAACCGTTGGGATGAACTAGAACTGAGATTTTGAGCCAGGCCCTCACACCCAACATTGTCTGACCTCGCAAATGCTCTTCTGGATGAATGGGCAGAAATTCCCACAGACACTCTCCAAAGTCTTGTAGAAAGCTTCCCAGAAGAGTGGAAGCTGTTATAGCTGCAAAGGTGGGCCAACTCCATATTAATGCCTATGGATTTAGAATGGGATGTCATAAAATATTCTGTAGGTGTAACGTATAGGTGTCCCAATACTTTTGTCCATATAGAGTATAAGCCCAAAGTCCTACCAGGAGGTGGCGGTAATGCACCTAATAGTTGCCAACAGCCAGTAAACCCAAGAAGAAGAAGAAGATCAGCCATCCCAACATTCCCTTCTCAGTGTTTTTTTGAGGGAGAGACAAAGAAGCAGTACTGTAGAAAGTAGGGGGCTGTTTAACACTCAAGTTATTTTTGTTTTGTGTTTTTTTTTATTTTTTATTGAGACTCATAGAAGCGGCTGGAGAGAAGTTTGCTTTGTGAAAAGTGGGATGCAAAATATGTGAACCAACCAACACAGAAGCAGCCTTCATCCAGACCTGGCTCAGTAGGTTAATGTTAGCACTTAACTTTTGCTATGGAAAAGAAATATACGTGAATGCATTTATCAAATACACATAAAAATATATGACAATGTTTTGGGTAAAGTAGTGTTTGGAATACATTTTTAAATGAAACACTGTATTTGAAATGTAAGTCCATATATTTATTTTCTATATGTGTGCTTATCATTTTATTTGATAATATTTTCCTTGCAGCGTTTTACAGTGTTTGTGATGTTTTATTTAGTAATTGCATGATAAATACTTAAAACTCAAATAGTCTTCTGTGTATTTATTATGCTCTTCATTGTCATGTTAGAGTGTACAGAGAAATCCTGTAGGATATAGTGTGCACATGAAGCAAAACTGAAAAACAAACATGATAACAGTGCAATGCAAAGAGACCATACTACATTGTAAGTGCAAGTATACAGATATAATTTGACGTACATATACTGTAAAATATGCTGTTAAACATTCATCTCCAAAAGTTAGAACAGCAGTTTACAGTGAATACACTTGGGCTTGAGATCAAAAGATAAATGAGACGATAGATCAGAATTTCAGCTTTTATTTCCTGTTATTTACATCTAGATGTATTAAACAATTGCAACATGGCACCATTGTGGGCAGACCATCCAATTTTTTCAGTGAGCAAAAGTATAGGAACAAAAGTAAATAACACTTAATATTTGGTTGCATATGCCTTGCTTGCAATAAACGCATCAAAACATTGACTCACTGACATCACCAAACTATTGCATTCTTCTTTTGTGAGGATTTTCCATTCTTGTCTTTTATCACAGCTTCTTTCAACTGTTTGTTTTCGGGGCTTCTATCAGTCTCCTCTTCAGGAGGCAAAATGCATGATTAATTGCCTTAATGTCCGGTCATTTTGACTTGGCCAGTCTACAACCTTCCATTTTGTTCCCCCGATAAAGTCTTTTGTTATGCTGGCAGTGTTTGGGTCATTGTGTTGCTGCTTCCAATTAAATTGAATACATTTGTCTGTAAATAGGCAGACAATGTTTCTGTAGACTTCTGAATTCACTCTTTTCGCTACCATCATGAATAAAGATTAGTGAACCCATCCCAGAAGCAGCCTTGCAAGCACAAGCCATGACACCACTCCACCATGCTTGACTGATGAGCTTGTATGTTTTGGATCATTACCAGATCCTTTCTTTCTCTACACTTCAGCCTTTTCATCACTTTGGTAGAGGTAAATCTTTAAACTAATTCTGTTCCAGAGCTTTTTCTGCAATTCCAATCTGGCCTTCTGATTTTTACTGCTGAGAGGTTTGCATCTTGTGGTATGACCTGTATTTTCATGCATCAGATGTCCCCTTTACTTTATTCTTCCTCCCAACTTTTATTATGTAAAACAGTTTTAATCTGGCATGCTGTATTCGCCCATTTGTGCTGTTGACAGGATTTAACACTGGGGTCCACACACAGCAAAGTGATTAAAGAAAGTAGTAGTGCACCTAAAAGGTAGTAAACATGTATTTTTTTGCCAAAGATGGAGTTTTATGATTAAACAGGATGAGAACAGCACATTATTGAAAATTTATCTTAATTAAATTGTTTGTGCAGAATTTTAACTTAATTTTGGATAGCTGAAAATGTATTATGTTATTTAAGTTTGTTTATGTCTATTTTATCCATGATCTCATGACAGCCGCTTCATGGAACATAAGCAAAATAAAGATTCTGTTTTATGTGGCACTTTGGATGACAATGGGCAAGAATTTCGGTAGCCACAGGTCAGTTTCAGACTAAAAACTTGACAGTGATGGTTGAGTCGGGTCAGGTGTAGATGTAAAGTCAGAGACGATAACTGATCTGCTGCTGCACAGTTTGTGGTGGTCATCCTCTAGTCCTTCATCAGTGGTCACAGGATGCTGTTGGCTGGATATTTTTTTGTTGGTGGACTATTCTCAGTCCAGCAGTGACACTGAGGTGTTTAAAAACTCCAGCAGCACTGCTGTGTCTGATCCACTCAAACCAGCACAACACACACTAACACACCACCACCACGTCAGTGTTACTGCAATGCTGAGAATGATCCACCACCCAAATGGTACCTGCTCTGTGAGGGTCCATGGGGGTCCTGGCCACTGAAGAACAGGGTAACGGGGGGCTAACAAAGTATCAGAGAAACAGATAGACTACAGTCTGTAACTGTAGAACTACAAAGTGCACCTATATAGTAAGTGGAGCTGATAAAATGGACAATGAGCGTAGAAACAAGGAGGTGGTCATAATGTTATGCCTGATTGGTGTATGTCTTGCAGATGAGTATGTCTCGGGGGTGGAACTAGGCCTGTCATGTCTCAGCTCTCAAAAAATTGGACAGTGGGTGAAATGGCCTGATGCTAAACAGCCAAATTAAAGAAGACAATACACTGCAAATACAATTAATTCCCCAAAAAAATCACAGCATCCACTTCAGTGTTTGGGCAGTTCACGAGATATCTTAAATTTGTTATGAATTTAACTGATAGATACAGTGTAACTGTTAGGTACAGTTCTCAACAGTTTTGTTGTCCTTTTCTTTCATGTCACACTGTTTTTAATATACCTTTCTTCTTTTTCTCTGCCAGAAAAGCATAATATCCTATCACGAACAGGTGAAGTCTGTCTTAGGTTGGAGAACATGGCATCAACAGAGAGCTCTGCTGCCCAGCCAACGTCTTCTGATCCCGTCTTCACTAATGCATCTCAAAGCCAGACAAAGAAAAAAGACAGGCAAGAACAGAACTCAACATGATCTCCAGCTACACCAGCTCATTCACACAGGAGAGAAACCGTACTCCTGCTCAGAGTGCGGGAGGAGATTTACTCTACAGAGATACCTCCAAACACACCAGCGCATTCACACAGGAGAAAAACCGTATCACTGCACAGACTGTGGGAAGAGTTTCACCAGACTGAGTAGCCTCACACTCCACCAGAGCACCCACAAAGCAGAGAAACCGTATTCCTGCTCAGACTGTGGGAAGAGTTTTATTCAACCGAGTTACCTTCAACAACACAAGCGCGTTCACACAGGAGAGAAGCCGTATTGCTGCTCGGAATGTGGGATGCGATTTAATCTACAGAGTACTCTCCAACTGCACCAGCACATTCACACAGGTGCAAAGCCATATCAGTGCTCGGAGTGTGGGAAGAGTTTTAGAAACAGCAGTAACCTTAAAGCTCACCAGCGCATCCACACAGGAGAGAAACCGTATTGTTGCCCAGAGTGTGGGAAGAGGTTTAATCAACAGAGCAATCTACAAACGCACCAGCGCATCCACACTGGAGAAAAGCCGTATTCCTGCTCGGAGTGTGGGAAGAGCTTTAATCTACAGAGTACTCTCTTAGTACATCAGCGCATTCACACAGGAGACAAGCCGTATTTCTGCTCAGAGTGTGGGAAGAATTTTAGTGGTAATCTCATAAGACACCAGCGCATTCACACTGGAGAGAAACCGTATCGGTGCCCAGAGTGTGGGATGCGTTTTAGACACAGAACCAACCTTAAAGCACACCAGCACATTCACTCACGAGAGAAACTGTTTCAGTGCTCAGAGTGTGGGAAGAGTTTTAAACAAAGAGCTAACCTTACGAGACACCAGCGCATTCACAAAAGAGAGAAACTCTGTTAATGCTCAGAGTGCGGGAAGAGTTCCGAGCAGTAATTTGAAGACACCCAAGTGCTGCTAACAGGAAGGTGGACATCTGTGCGAGTTTGTCAAATCAAAAAACTTCTTTTTCATTATTAAATTTGTTAATCTTAATTTTAGTGATGTATCCTGTATTTCTTTGATTTTGATAGCTTCTAGTGAAGGCGGTTCTCAGTACTTTTAAAAAAAGAGGTCCTAACATTTCATTTGTGAGAAGTGTATTTGGGTTGTGAGATTATTATGCATGTATGTAATCATTTCCATAATCACTGCACTTTAAACTCTGTAGTGTATTTTGTTTCTTGTTATTTAAGAATAAAGCATGAAGTAGGATGGATTGTCCTTCTTTAGTCTGGAAAGGAATTTCTCAGTCATGCGCATTAAAGAAAAACAAACAGGACACCTTTCACTTGTTAATATACTGCTTTGGCTCCAAATGTCTAGGAAATGGATATTTTATTTTTGTACGGAAACATGATCCTGTTATTTTCAGGCCTCATCAGATGTCTTAAGATGCCACTGTATACTGCAGGGACTTTAAATGGTGGCAAAAAAACAAACCCCAGTGCTGTTCTATGCATGCACATGTGTTGTATCTTGCCACCATAGCCTGCTTTTCTACTATGGCTTTGAATATTTCAGTGCACATTTTTCAAAGACACTGGTTAAGTTAGTTGATTTATCCAGTGATGCACTCTCCATCATTGTGGTAGAGTTGTTGCTTGGTGACTTTGGTTTGTGTGGCTGTGGTATTCATGCAGATTTACTGCCAGTTGATGTTACAGATGTGCCAGTGCACGAACAAGTTCTCCCAATCCTCCTTTTTAGTAATACTGTCAATTATATTTGTCTGTATAGGCCTGGGGTCGGCAACATGTGGCACTTTTACTGCCCTGTTGCAGCTCCACAGCAGAGTTAGATTTTTAAAGTGGTTATATCTGAGCTAAAGCTTAAAGCAGAGGAAAGTATGCGCTTTTGTTTAGCGTATACTAGGACATCAGCACATACTGAGACATGTTTACTGCCACGATGATAAAATATACATGAAATGTTGTGGCTCCCAAGGTTGTTTGATTTTTGTTGAAAGGACAATATGGCTCTTCTTAACATTTGGGTTGCTATCCTCTGGTATAGGCAGTCATTGAAGTTCCATGTCAAATATTTGACTTATCATGCCCTCTCCAGTCCCTTCTGGCATGCACACATTGATCCAGACTTCATCTTCTTGCTCTGCCCCTCCACTGGCTTCTTCACTCACTGGATGATTTGCATTGCCACATCTTCCCCTTGTTATCCCGCCTACGAATGCCTGACTCTTCATGGCTTTTCTTGCCTCCGTCTGCAGATTCTCAAGGCACTGACTTGCATTTCTCCTCTGTGCTATTACCTGGATTCTTCACTGTTCATGCTAATGACACTTGTGAATCTTCCTCTCTCTGAACTGCTTGAATCTGATGTGTCTAGGATTCTATTTTCAAGCCTTCCTTCTGCAGGCTCTTGTCATCTATTTTGCCAACTGCCCTCATACACCATACTTTAACTCCTTTAACCACATCTTTTGTATTTTACCACAGCGGCTCCCCTTCATCTCCAACATCCAGACCCACATATCACTCATGCATATAGGGTTGGGGAATCAGTCTCGTCACAGTGCATTATGTGAATGTTCTGCCATATTGGCAGGGTTTGTTCCTTGTTTACATGCTGCAAATATGTAAGAAAAGTGCGAGAGCTTAAGGAGATTGTTGTTTTTCAGGCTGCTTAAAAGTGAATCAAATGAAACTGAATGAAATGAAAAATCTGGAGGGATGCTAAACAGCTATATAACGATAAAGTTAGCTTTATTGACAACATGGACCCATACAAACTCCCAAACAGTTCAGTAATGATTTGGATATGCTAAAGTAACTTCAGTCCAGTTTTAGTCCAGTTTACAAATGGTTATTGCACTCAGCTTGTGGCAGATTTAACTTTCTGACATATTTTAATCCGCCACTGAACATGTAACTCAATTCCTGCTGTATTTCACTCAACAACTGTCAGATTTATCTCAGTTACTGCTGTATTTCCCTCACTGGCATATTTAACCAGAGAGGAGTCATACGTTCTTTGATTTAACTCAGCTACTGGTATATTTTACTCGCCATGTTTCACTCAGTTATTGCCATATTTCACTCGATTTTGGTATATTTGAACCAGCTACTGGCATGTTCCACTGTAGGTAGCCTTTTAGCAAGTGCTGCATGCCTAGTTTGAAGTTCATATGCATGGTTTAAAGAAAAATGAACATTAAGCTACTGAGTTTATTTTTTTTTGTTACCGTATTAACTACATAGACTAACTGTTAATAAACACATTTGTAGGACATGCTTAAGGCTAAACTCAACAGAAGCTTCCTTGGGCACAATTTATACCAAGCAACACAACTACACTGATAACAACATTAGCAATAACAACATCAACTACAACAGTCCCTTTTTAAACCAGGAGCATGGCACACCCCAAGAGCCCCTTTGCATGGCCACACCCCCTAAGCTCCTCATGGCAGCATGGCCCATAGTGGGTGCCACAGTATGTATGGAGGAAAAAAGGAGCAGCATTTGATGAATAGAACACCTTGCCAACTGTTAAGTAGTTGTAGTACTAATTAGATGTAGTTGTGTGGCAGCTAATGGCATAGGAAACATTGCATGGGTGGATGGAAGAATAGTTAAATGTCAGCAAATTTCAGAAGCAAATGTATCACAGTAGGTCAAGAAACTGAAGCTGAAAGGATGGCCTCAACAACAGGACAATGATCTAAAACAAAATCTACTATGAACTACCTCAAGAAACACAAGCTGAAACTTTTGGAATGATACTTATAGTTCCCTGATGTTAACATTATTAAAAATCTGTGGGTAGATTATAAATATGCTGCGCATCTCGTCTTTTGCACATGCCACAATTCCTATTTGATTTGTTTTTCATTTTTAAATTCTTCAAATATATAGTTATAGAATTAATGTATCTTTTCAGTTTACTGCAAGAGGTTGTATTTACTTTTTATTACTTCAAAATATGCGACTTGGCCATACAACTGTATTTTTTTATTTGCATTAATATATCTTAAATTTATTTATCTATACTTGGTTGAGAATTTTTAAAAATGGAAAGTTTATTTAAATGAGATTTTACAAGAATTAGTCACTGAATCATTAAAATGGGTGTACAATCTTATCTGCAAATGGTCGGTGTGGCTGCACACTTTCGTTCCAAACAAAAATATTGACAAAAATATGAAAGAAAATAATTACTCTATTTCGAAACTTGGTGAGGACAACTTAAGATACATGTCTTCAAAGACATCATATGAGAAGGATCTATATATATATATATATATATATATATATATATATATATATATATATATATATATATATATATATATACATCTATATCTGAACAAAATCTGATGGGAGAGAGGTAGTAGCCTCGTTTTAGGCTGGAAGAGAAATGCCAGCCCCCAGTCTTTACCAGAAGGTGGTGGTAATGCACCAAATTATTGTTTGCCCACTGCTGTCAGACCCAAGAAGAAGAAGAAGCTCAGCAGTCCCTGCTCAGTGTTGTTTGAGGGAGAGACAAAGGAGCGGTACTGTAGGAAGTAGGGAGCTGTTCAATGCTTACTCACATTGTTGGTTTTGTGCTTTTCATTGATGCTCATAGAAATGGCTGGAAAAATGTTTGCTTTTTTGAAAAGTGGGAAGCCAACCAACAAAGAACCAGCCTTCATCCAGACCTGGCTGACTAGGGTTGTCAGCTGTTTTGCTTTTACTGTATACTCCTATTTTCCTAGCTGAGATAGACCAGTGTAGAGCATTTTGTGATGTTTTATTTAGATATTGCATGATAAATATTCAAAAACCTATTGAGGGATTCATATTTATTTTGATAGCTAATACTAGTGGAGATTTAAAATGCTGTTTTACTTTCAAGCTAACTTTGCCAGGATGATTCATGTGTTTCTCCTTTCTTTTGTGTGTTTATTAAGCTCTTCATTATTATGTTACACTGGATAGAAACATTCTGTTGGATATAGTGCACACCTGAAGCAGATCTCAAGAACCAGTATCAAAACTAGGCAAATGGAGACCATGTAATATGGTGTGTGCATTATAAACTCATAAAAATATGAGCAAAAATGTGGGCAAGTATACAGATACAGTATGAATGTGCAGCACTATTGAGAACCTGAAGGCTTGGAGTTTCAGAAATATCTTGGAAGCTGTATCTGTGATCTGTCACTCACTCTCCATACAGCATATAGACTATGAATGGACCGTGATGGGGTTTGAAGGGTAGAGCATGAAATATTTTTTTAAATCTGATGGGACTTGAATGCTCATAGCAAATTTGGTTTGGACTAGGGTTGGGCAGTGTAACATTAATAACATATACTGTGGTATTTAAATAACAGAATTTAAAAAATGATGATGGTATTTCAGAATTATGATGTGTCAAATTTCTATTCGAAATTAACACATTCCACTCATTTTTTACAGGAGTTTACTGATATTCCATCAGTGGTGATAGAAAGACAGGAATAATGAGAGCCAGAAAAAAGTAGTTATGCTATTTCAGCACCACAGGCAGAATTTTGTTGGACTCACTTCAGGTTCAGGCTCAAAACTTGTTGATATGATTCGGATCATGCTCAGACAGACATTTTTTGGAATGTATACAGGTTTAAAACAAAAAATCCATTGTAGTTTATTGTTCTTAGAACACCAGCAATAACCAGCTTCACGGTTTGATAAGTACATCTTGATCTCCTCAGCAATATGTTTGGGGTTATTATCTTACTGTTGAATTAACATCTTCCTAATCAGACTTTTTCCAAATTTGTCCTTCTCTTCTTACGATTTCTTGGCACACAAAAAAAAACTATCTCACCCAACCAATCCAACATGACACAACACAAACAATACATAAACACATCTTCAACTATCCACAACATTGTTAGCAATGTAACAACAGCAAATATTGTCCTTCCTTACCAGGATTGTGGAGCCTCCAGAGAGCCTCTTTGCATGGCTGCACCTCCTGAGCCTTTATGGTAGCACAGCCTGTGGTAAACACCAACTAGTCCTGCCTTCAAAGGGCAGCCATTCCTGTGACCTACATAGTTCGAGCAAAGTCCTTGGGGCATGCAGAGTCCTGGCCAGGACAAATGCTCCTTGGTGGCAGGCTCCTCCAGTCCTCTCTCAGGGCCGCGTCCTTGGCGCAGCTGCTCCTTAACACAGTCCACTCTGGGTGTGCTGCCCCCTCTGACCCTGGCAGGCAGCCGGACACCACCTCTATGAGCAGAGAGACTGGGCGGAACTCCTTGCAACTCAGTTTTATGTCCAGCGCTACTGGAGGCGACGGTAGCAGCAATGGCACTCCTCTCCGTCCTGGAGTAGCTTCTTGACAGACTGCACTACCAGCACCTTCCCAAACCACTGCTGGAGAGCCATGGTCAATGCTGTTAGTTCATCGTGTTGCTTTGTTGGCAGGTTCACAAGCACCTGGAACACTTTTTCAGCTGTATCATGGTGATGGACACTGTCCAGCTGTGATGCCAGGACAATCACTTACAGCTGCACAGAATACGGCTCCCAGGCTTTTTCGCCATTATATTGCGGTAGGCAGATGTGTGCCCTTTTCCTTTTGCTTTGCTCCAGTTGGGCCCTGCTACCAGTTGCCGCTGTGTCTTTTTTTTTCTCAGACTCACCGTCTCTTTCACCGCCGACCGTTGTGCCATCCCTTTTGCCGTGCTCAAGATGGGCTCCACTGCCAAGCTTTGCTGTGCTGTTTCATTTGCCGTCTTCCACCATGCTCTATCTTCTTCACTGTTTGCCTTTGAGTTTGTTGAAGGGTGGCACTATCCCACTTCTGACACCACTGTGGCATCAGCATAAACAAAGATTTGAGAAACATTGTGCTTACAGAGAAATGCGCTTTTATTGAACAGGCAGCAAGGGAAAACCGCCAGCCCAGCTTACTTTTGTTACATCCAAAAATTTCAAAACTGACACCGTATCACAGATGTCCAGTTTTGCTCTTCTAGTGTTAGTCCATTGTTCTGAGAACACCAGCAGCTACTTAATTTGATAAGTACATCAGCAGTGTGCTTGGGGTTCTTAGCTTGCTGTAGAATAAATTTCTTCCCAAACATTTTGCAGAGAGCATTGAATGATCTATACATATTTTTTTTGTACTTAGCATTCATGATGTATGTAATCTAAAACCAATTACCAACTCTAGGTGATATTTTACATTTTACATACAACTTGCACTTATCCTCCACCATGTCTTTCATTGCTTTTGTGGCAAATATACTGCCTTCTACTACTTCCAAAGCTGTAACTGATACAGTGTGACTGTGAGGTGCGGTTCCCAACAATTGATATACTTTTTCTTTTTGGGTTTTACAGTATTGTTAATAGTTTTTTTCTTTTTCTTCTCCAGGACAGTATAATATCCTGTTGCAAACACACCAGGAGGAGATTCACAATCAGAAGAAATTCAGTTGAAGAATATGGCGTCTACAAACAGGACCACTGCCCAGCAAACGTCTTCTGATCCCATCTGCACTAATGCATCTCAGAGCCAGACAAAGAAAAAAACAGACAAGAATGAAACTCAACATAATCAACATAATCCCCAACCACACCAGCTCATTCACTCAGGAGAGAAACCTTATTCCTGCTCAGAGTGTGGGAGGAGATTTACTCTACAGAGATACCTCCAAACACACCAGCGCATTCACACAGGAGAAAAACCGTATCACTGCACAGACTGTGGGAAGAGTTTCACCAGACTGAGTAGCCTCACACTCCACAAGCGCAGTCATGCAACCGAGAAACCATTTTCCTGCTCAGACTGTGGAATGGGTTTTAATCAACAAAGTCAACTTCAACAACACAAGCGCATTCACACAGGAGAGAAGCCCTATTGCTGTTCAGAGTGTGGAAAAAGGTTTACTCAACAGAGTACTCTCCAACTGCACCTGCACATTCACACAGGAGCAAAGCCATATCAGTGCTCAGAGTGTGGGAAGAGTTTTAGAGACAGAGGTAACCTAAAAACACACCAGCGCATCCACACAGGAGAGAAACCGTATTCCTGTGCAGAATGTGGGAAGAGGTTTAATCAACAGAGCAATCTACAAACGCACCAGCGCATCCACACTGGAGAAAAGCCATATTCCTGCTCGGAGTGCGGGAAGAGCTTTAATCTACAGAGTACTCTCTTAGTACATCAGCGCATTCACACAGGAGACAAGCCGTATTTCTGCTCAGAGTGTGGGAAGAATTTTAGCGGTAATCTCATAAGACACCAGCGCATTCACACTGGAGAGAAACCGTATCGGTGCCCAGAGTGTGGGATGCGTTTTAGACACAGAACCAACCTTAAAACACACCAGCACATTCACTCAAGAGAGAAACTGTTTCAGTGCTCAGAGTGTGGGAAGAGTTTTAAACAAAGAGCTAACCTTACGAGACACCAGCGCATTCACAAAAGAATGCGGAATGAGCTCCAGGCAGTTGAGTAAATTGAAGAGTCCTAACAAAGGTGAACACATTTTCATCACCAGTTCTGTTAACGTTTACTTCAGTGATGTATCCTGTATTTCTTCGATTTAAATAGCCTTTAGTGAAGGCGGTTCTCAGTACTGTTACAAAAAGAGGTCATGAGTTTTTCTCCTTGGTGAGAACTGTGTTTTGTTTGTGATTATTATGCACATTTGTGATCATTTCCATGATTGCATGTTAAACTCTGTACACTAAGATTAATGCATGCAGTAGAATGTAAGTTCTCATACAAAAGAACTTCTCAAACGTATACATAGAGCTGTGTACTCAAGTGTACTCAAGATTACTACCACAATTGACGGTCTCGGATTTTAATCATTTTCACTTCCTCTTGTCTCAGTCTCGGGGTAAGGTGGACCATCTAAGTGCAATGCCTCTGTGTGAGGTGATTGGACTTTTTTCTGTCATAAATAAATATCAACAAAAACTTCAAGCAGAATAAAACCGTCCTTTCATTTATCTTTCCATGATGGCTTAACTGAGTATTATTGGTTTGTTGATATTCGTTGGTTCCAAAATTCACACATCTCCTGAGGGCAGATCAGAATGTTATTACTATGTTTTCATTTAATAATAAAATGAATGTATTGTTTGATTTTTGTATTGATTTTTGCAGAAGAAGGAACAGAGAATAACCTCACCATCATTTGCTTCCCAAGTTAGACTAAGACTACAATATAATATGACAATACAGAATATATTACAAAATAAAATGTTATTTATGAATATTATTAATGTATAGTGAATGATAGTGAATGTAAAATGAACCTCTTTCTTCATTTTTTTAACATACTGAAAAACTCAATCTTGTCTTGAACTTCATTTGGACTCGACTACTGCAAATTCTTGGTCTTGACTCAAACTCGATGTGTCCAGGTCTTGCTTTGATTCATCCAGTGCACATTTTTCTAAGACACTGTTTAAGTTAGTAGATTTGTCCATTTGTGGAAGATATTGTATGTCAGCAGGTGAGCATAGACAGTGAAGAACATTATTCTGACTTTGTGGTAGAGTTGCTGCTTTGACTTTAGCACAATCCCATTTCACCCCTTGCCCCTACCACTTAGCCCATAGCCCTCTGATTTGCGCGTTCACATCTAGGGGTAGGGTGTCCCAATTTTTTTGTTGAGATAGAGGAGTGGAGTAAAGTGTTAGGGCTACATGGCCCTCCAAACGGAAGTTTTTCAAAGGCACACTCCAAACAGAGTGTTATGAGAAAAAAGAAAACTGTCAAGATGGCTGCGCAAGCGACCAAAAAACACACAAATGTAAGTATGTTCTATTAAAAAAATTATGATAACTATTGTATTGTCTTAGTTTAGTGTCGTTTCAATGTATTATGGTCATTTTCTTCATGACAAGCATAAAAAATCGCTAATAGCATGCTAATGCCTCAGAAGCTAGCTAGCTAACTTTCCCGGTCCACCTTAAATAGTCCAGCTGTATTGATGCCTGAAGCGCCAGAATGTAACTGCTGCACCATTTAAGGTGGAACGGGAAAATTCGAACAAGAAGCTGGTTAATAGCTGACTTCAGCTTCGTATCACCAAAGAATTAGCGATGTGTGATAATAAATAATTGTCTTGTACCCCCTCTTTAAAGGCATATGATGCCCTAAATGTAACTAGGTTGCTGAACTTTACCCTCCTCTTCTATCACTGAAGACGGGCCAGGTCGCCCACAGAGCACCGCTAGTAGCCTGTTAATGAAGTAAGGTAATTTGAGGGTTGTCCCATTTCGTAGGACAAGATTTCAATCACTACCCCTTGTAACTCAGTTAGGGTGACACTTGAAAACAAGGGGTAGGGGTAAAAAAAAAGAAATGCGATTGGGCCTTTGACTTTGGTTTGTGCGGCTATCGTGTTAATACAGATTTAATGTCAATTGATAAATGGTGATAAAATGCATGATTGATGTTCCATCCTCCTGTTTAGTACTGCTGTACTTCAGTAGTAATAACTGGCATTTTTACATGTCCATATAGACAGTCATTGAAATTCCCCCATACATTTTACTAAGTAAAAGACATAACATCAAACCTTTGTCATGTTCAAATGTACTTTCATGCAAAATATATTTATTGAACATAAAAATGTTCATTTTAAGAAAAATATTAACGGTTCTTGTTTTGCTTTCTACCCTGTCACACCATAACCTATTTATCAAAAAAATGTTATTGTCACATAAAGTGGCATGATTATGAGGAGGTGACATCAATTAAGCCTTTAGGGGAGGCTACCTTAATAACTGGTAAAGTTTGATCAGCATTCAAGATTATTAAAATTGACTCTTGGGCAAATGGGAAAGGGTGCTTGCGCACTTGAAAGTGGACAATCAGGTCCTTCTTCCTTCCTTCCTTTTCTCTTTTAACCCCCCGCCATCTCCCCCATTCTGTCTCCATTCCTCTCTTTCCCCTATCGCGTCATACCTCCTCTGATCCCTTCCGACCTGCACCTTGAGATCCAAGTCTCAGACTTCAGTCTCTCTTCATCTTTTCATCACTTCCTGCACAATCAATGCTCTGCCCCTCCACCCATCTGTCCCACCTGACTCTCCATGTTTGTGTCAGTCCCCTCTGGCTTGCACTAGTGGATCCTCCAAACATGGACTTTAGTCTCTCCACCTGCTCTGCCCCAGGCCAGCTCTGACACTCCCTGCATAACTGACGACGCCACCCTAGCTGCCCCACCTAGCAATGCACAACTTTTCCCGCCCCCTCCAGCCCCTTCTGGCATGCACATGTAGATCCCCCAAACATGGATTTAACGTCCCCTCTTACACTGCCCTTCCACAGGCTTCTTCTCTCGCTCCACAGGCTTCTTCTCTCGCTCCATGATTTGCACAGCCACCTCTCACTCTTGTGACCCCACCCAAATTAAATGCCTGACTTCACGGCTCTTCTCGCCTCCTCCTGCAAATCACAAATTTGCATTTCTTCTCTGTGCACTTGCCTGGCTTCATCACTACCATTGACACTGGTGAATCTCACTCTCCCTGAACTGCTTGAATCTGATGTGTCTAGGGTTCTATTTTCAACCCTCTCTTTTGCAGGCTCTCGTCATCTATTTTGCCAGCTATTTCCATAACCAAACTTCAACTCCTTTAACCACACTCTTTGTGATTTTACTATAGGGGCTCCTCTTCATCTCCCACCTCCAATCATCTGGATGGTTCACTGCTCTGCTGGCTTAGTTGCTTCCAGCACATCTGACTTCTCACTATCCTTCTGGACACCGTTTCTTCCACCACCTTCTTCCTTCTCCCCTGGCATGGTACACTTCAAAAAAACCCATTCCATCTCACTGTAGAGGCACGCCTTCAGAACATCTTTCAGCCTCTCTCCATGTGTCCTTTCACTGGGTAATGCCTGCCTCATGGGTCCTCTCCTTTTTGGACTGGATCAACATTTGTGAAGATGCCACTTGTACCCCGGGAAACCTGCTGGTCTATTAATTTCAGGTGCTGATTGCTGATTTGTCTCCCCCCAAACTGCTGATGTTGCTCTCGTCCCATTAACTTCTCAGTCCAGGGGAGCTATATCCCCTTGTCATTACCGGCCTTTATTAGGGACGGGTATTACAAGCAAATGATCCTCATCCACCATGATAACTGATTATTCTCAATACTTGGATGCAAATCCATTGCAGTCAATGGCTGCCTGAAGTGTGGAGTTTTGTCCTTAGTAAGTGAAAAGCAGGCTCAGTTGCATTGAGGCCAGGTGAAACATTAAACATTCCATTTCTTTGTCTTAAGAAGCTCTTGGGTTGCTTTTGTGGTATGTTTTGGGTCATTATCCATCTGTACTGTTAAGTGCTGTCCTATATGTTTTGCAGCATTTGACTGAACCTGAGCAGAAAGTATAGCTCTATTCACTTCAAAATTCATCCTGCTACTTCTATCAGCAATCATGGCATCAATAAACACCAGTAACCCAGTTTCATTTGCAGCCATACATGCCTTTCATGACACTACTTCCACCATGTTTGACAGATGATGCTTCGGATCTGGAGCCTTTCCTTTCCTTCTCAAATCTTGTTCCAGAACTGGACAGGCTTTTTTTAAATGTTTTCTTGCAAAGTCTAATCTGGCCTTTCTGTTCTTGAGTGTTGGTTTGCATCTTGGGAAGAACAGCCTGCCCGATCTAAACCCAAATGGTGAATTGTTATTGGCTTTCTGTGCCAGGCACGGATTGTCCATAACGAACACCAAGTTCGAACACAAGGATGTTCATAAGTGTACATGGTACCAGAGCTCCTTGGGTCATAGGTCAATGATCGACTTTGTTGTCGTTTCATCTGACTTGGGACCATATGTTCTGGACACTCGGGTGAAGAGAGGTGCTGAGCTGTCAACCGATCACCATCTGGTGATGAGTTGGATCAGATGGCAGGGAAGACCGATGGGCAGACCCGGTAGGCCCAAGCGAATAGTGAGGGTGTGCTGGGAACGACTGTTGGAGGCCCCTGTTCAGAAAGATTTTAACTCCCACCTCCGGGAGAGCTTTTCTCATGTCCCGGAGGAGGTAGGGGACATGGAGTCTGAATGGACCCTGTTCAAAACCTCCATCGTGGAAGCTGCCAGGCATAGCTGTGGCCAAAAGCTTGTTGGTGCCTGTCAGGGTGGTAACCCAAGAACCCCCTGGTGGACACCAGGGGTGAGGGAGGCCGTCAAGCTGAAGAAAGAGGCCTTTAGGGACTGGATTGCCCGAAGGACTCCTGACTCTGACTTCAAATGAGGATATTGTCAGTCGGTGGAAGGAGCACTTTGAGGAACTCCTTAATCTGGGAGATATGCCTCTCTAACAGGACTCAGGGCCAGAGGCTTCTGGTGTGTCAAGCTCCATTTCCCTGGTGGAGGTCACTGAGGTAGTTGGCAAGCTCTTCAGTGGCAAGGCACCGGGGGTGGATGAGATTCGTCCGGAGATGCTTAAGGCTCTGGATATTGTGGGGCTGTCATGGCTGGCACGCTTCTACAATATTGCATGGACCTCGGGAACAGTACCCTTGGACTGGCAGACCGGGGTGGTGGTCCCTATTTTTAAGAAAGGGGACCGGAGGGTGTGTGCCAACTATCGGGGTATCACACTGTTCAGCCTCCCTGGGAAAGTCTATGCCAAGGTGCTAGAAAGGAGACTTTGACTGATAGTTGAACCTTGGATTGAGGAGGAACAATGCGGATT